GGGTTCGGGTTGTTGAAGTGCATGTTGGGGGGGATCTGGCCGTTCTCAAGCGCAAGAGTAGTCTTGATCAGACCTGCAAGACCTGAAGCACCCTCGAGGTGACCAATGTTGGTCTTGACGGACCCGACATACAAGGGGTTGCTTCGACCGGGGGCGAAGACTGCGCCGATGGCACGGGTCTCAATAGGGTCACCTGCAGCAGTGCCGGTACCGTGTGCCTCGAAGTATTGTGTGTGCAGCGGGTTGAGACCGGCCTGCTCGTAGGTGGAGCGAATGAGGTCCTCCTGGGCAACGCTGTTGGGTAAAGTGATACCGTTCTTTCGGCCGTCATGGTTGCTTCCAGTAGCTCTGACGATGGCGCGGATGTTGTCGCCAGCAGTCTCAGCGGCGCTCTGGCGCTTGAGAATGGCTGCGCAGATACCCTCACCACGGACGTAACCGCTTCCTGAAGCATCGAAAGCGCGGCAGCGACCATCTGTGGATAGCATGCCAAGGTCCGTCATCGTGATGTAGATGTTGGAGTCGAAGTGGAGAGCAGAGCCGACAACGATGGAGATGTCAGCTTCGCCGTTCTTCAGCGATTGGTTGCTAGAGACGAGAGCGTGTTAGCCTGATATTATGGAATAGAAAGCCAGATGACTGTGAACGTACCCAAGATGGAAGCAGACAAGAGATGATGAGCAGGCTGTATCAAGAGTGATGGAGGTTCCGTGCAAGTTGTAGAAGTACGAGATTCTGTTGGACAGAATGGCGTTACCGGTACCGGTGGCGTGGTACATGGGGTAGTTCGCCGTCAAGTCCTTGCCAGTCATGGAAAGGTAGTCGTTGGTGAAGCTGCCGCAGAAGACAGAAGTCTGAGAGCCACTGATGTCCTGAAGAGTGATACCAGCGTTCTCCAAGGCCTCGTAGACGACCTCGAGCAGCAGACGCTGCTGAGGGTCCATGGCATCGGCTTCCTTTCCAGAAATACCGAAGAAGGAGTTGTCGAATTCAGCGATATCCTGCTCAAGGAAGTAGCCGAAACGAGCATTCGTCTAGAATGATTGCATTAGTCTACAGGTGCTGCGTCTTGTCTGAAGTGATCAACTCACGGTTCCCTTGCGGGTGCCATCAGGGTGGTCTACAAACAGTGTTAGTGTCTATGAATTGGGCCAGAGAGGATGAAGATACTCACAGTAGTTGTCTACATTGAAGCGGTCCTCGGGCATCTTGCGCTGAACATCTCGCTGGGCGGCAATGTGATCCCAGAGCTTGCTGGGGTTGGAAGCGCCAGGGACTCGGCAAGCGAGACCGACGATGACGGTGGGGTCATTCTCAACGGTGTTGACTCGGGCAGACATGTTGATCGGTTGCGAAGCTGGAAAAGCTAAGTTTAGATGAGCTTGGTATGCTTGGCTGGATTCTTTAGTCTGCTGAGGAGGTAGTCGACAAAGATGATTGTCGATTGTGGTTCGTGATCGAAGGTAATTGGCCAGCTATCAGGAAGAAAATGAGTTGATATCAAGTATCGAGAGTTGATTTCAGGGACAGGGGAAGAAATGGAATCTTCCGCGAACAAGTAGGGTACTCTGAATCAAAAGGCGATGGTTGAGGTAAGAGAACCCTGAAACTGGAACTCTGCGATACTTTGCTGGTTGAAGATCATGAAGTGAAGAGTCGAACTGAGTCTATGAGAGATGATGATGTGTTGAGAGTGATGAGGAAAACAGATTGTGACGAACTGAATCCCAAGCTTATATGTTGATGAAGAGATATCGATGCCCCTTTGACGGACATGGAGTTCCTCTGAATATCGGTGCCTGCCATTGGAGGTATGCAAGACGGTCTCTGCGCGATGGAGCACTTTCGGCTCCTCAGTCAGAGTATCGCGTTGAAGATTTCCGAAGCTGTCCGGAGACAGCTTCCGGTCAGTTGTGAGCCTCCGAATGACTCCGGAGGCTACTATTTCGGTGCTCATGATGCAAGTGGAGACATTGATAGCCGCAGCGCAACCTGGTGCAGGTTGACGGAGGCATTGTTGGCCCAACCCATGGCAAAAGAGTAGGCAACCAAAACAAGGGTAAGACGGAACGCAGAACCACGGGTGCCAATGTGTATGTTAGCGGCAGCACGGAGAAGGAGTCGGTAGGGCTGACGAATAGACGAGCGTGTATCGCGGAGAGCGCCTCACAGCCGCGCCTGGGACGATACAAGATAGCTGCTTCAACGAGTGAATGAAGAAAGAAGATGTTCCCAATGGGGGATGGGCTTGATCGAGGTTCGGAGAGGTGGAGAGTTGGAACGGGGCGGCGTCTGTGTGGATGTCATCCCGTCATTCCTTCCCTTGCCAGATGGAGGCTATCCAGGGGTTGATCCCACGGTACATACGAGGTACAAGGGCGAAGTCGCTGGAAGTATCTGCACGATTTGCACAAGTCGAACGGAAAGTTATGCCAGAAGGACCATGGGATTCGCCAAGTAGGGAGATTGATTGACGCATGTACAGGATCTGCGAAAGTCGGCCGAATAGCTTGGGTGCTCAGGCAATGCTGACTGAGGCGGAGACAATCCATGGCGTAGAGAACTAAGAAACTTGGCTTTCCGTCGTGTCTTGCTCTAGCAGATCTCTGCTTTGCACCACAGGCGCTGCGGTTGTCAAAGTTGCATTGAACCTCGTCCCATCTTGTCTTTGTGTTGTCTGGTCTCGTGGATATGGTCTCTCATCTGATTCGCAGTTGGATGATAACGAATCCCAAGCACACGGGCTGGCCGCCCCGAATTGAGACATTTAGGTATTCAATGCCTAATGATTCAGCCGTCTCGCCTTGGCCGAGAACATGCAGCGGTTGATAATAGCTGCGAGTCTGACATGATGACTGAACCGTGAACAGGTCCTGCGTGCATTCTACGTGCGTTCGAGCAGCTGTACGTGAGAGGATGGTTTGAGAAGGAGAGGTGGAACGAAGCGATTCTTCAGCTTAGTCACGGAGCTCATGGGGCGGCGCTGTGTCGCTCTTCAGCGCATCTCATCTACGAAGTAATTAGTGGGTTCAGCACTAAATTAAGATGCGCGTCAACATCCAGTAGCCGCAGTTGTGCTGTGATGTGTGAGGTGAGGCGGGGAAGGCCTTTGTGTCCCATTGGCTCGATAAGCGACCCTTGCTCCATCGTCCCACCCTGATTAGGTCAACACCCTGGTGTGCTTCCCACTTCCTCACCCCTCAGGCAGAATCCTTCCCGAACACAGTTAATCACACAGTTTCCCGCACATAGCACCTTGAGGGGGTTTCTGGGGCGGAGAGGCGGGCAGCAAACACAGCCGGGCCTGTTGGTGCATCTTTGCAGCAACAACGTCTCATCGCGCGCTGCATCGTCCCGCTGCTCCCAGCAGGCAACAGAATAACCTCAAGTCCCAAACTCCCGATTCCCGCTGGCACGCATTTGCTCCACTTTGCTCTTCACACACACGCTCTCTCTCTCTCTCTCTCTCTCTCTCTCTCTCTCTCTCTCTCTCTCTCTCTCTCTCTCTCTCTCTCTCTCTCTCTCTCTCTCTCTCTCTCTCTCTCTCTCTCTCTCTCTCTCTCTCTTGATCTCCCCTGCTTTGGGTACTCATCTTTCACACTTTTTGCTTCGTTTTGCCTTCTTCGGGACCGAGTCCACATGGTATCCCGACAAGATCATCATCCTCGTCCTCCTTTCGTCTCCCCGCACCTCCGACCCTCATCTCTTTTCGGTCTTTGAATACTCAAACTCCGTTATCTACCCCCGGTCAGCCATTGTTAACTCATAGCTCCTGCTTAGAATCCCACACCTTGGTCATCACTTGATAATAACCAGACCTGAAACACAACGTGACGATGTGGGAAGTTGCATCGCTTCCGCTGCTAAACGCAGCCGACCGCGAGGGAGTTCCACCTGCAGGCCAAGCCGAGGCGACATATCAGCGTGTCATCTCAGCCCTGTGCTGTGTATCGAATTACTGCATACACCTTGTCTGAGGCTTCTCTGTTTCTCTCTTGCACTCGTCCCGCATGGCACTGCATCGGCCGCTACTTATTTCGTGTACATGTTCCATGGACCCATAAGGCAGTCAACGTCGAGTGTTCTTCCCAAGCCACCGCGCCGCCGAGGTCATGGCCGCAGAAGAAGCCTTCCGCGCTTACATCGGAGTGCAGATACCTCGGTCCAGGGCGTATATACTGAGACAGGGCAGGTATCTCCCCTGCTTTGTGTGATGCTTCCTTCGCCTTCGATGATCTTTCCATTTCAAGATCAGTCCAAACTGGTCCTGCCACACCCCTCGTCCACTACGGAGACCCTGCCACTGTGGAACAGGCATGGCACTAAGTACCTATTCTACAGCTTGGGTGAGATATGGTGCTTCTTGTTTTGGACCACTACTCAGTCTCTGTCCGGGGTTCCGCCTGATCAGTCATCCTTCCGCATCTACATCTCTTTTCTCAAGTCTCCTTTTCGTCCGTAAGGTAAGGTAATGCTTTCCAAGGTACCTCGCAGCCACGCTCTGCCGTGGCAGCAGGCCAAGTAGCCTAATGGAGCCCTTCCTTCCAACGGACCGATATCAATGGCTTCATCCTTCCGTCCGCTGGAATACTCAATCATGAGCATGGGAGCGAACCTAATATGCGCCTCTAGGAGAATTCCCCGCTGTGCCTCTTCCTTCGTATCAACAACACATCACCATCCAGCAGCAGTCAATCGCCATCTTCCCATCCATCACAGGTACGCTACACACTTCGCTGTGCCATTGCTTGCCACTCGCCTCCAACTTCTTGGATCAGCTCCATAAGTCTCATCTCGGGCTATTTCCCTTTACGCTCGCGACCCTCGCGTAGCTACCGTGCCTCGAACTCATCTCCGCCGCGCCTATTTGCGTCCACTGTCAAATAGGCTCTCTACAGCTTCGCCACTGTTTACCGGTCCTTCTCAGCATCGAATCAGATCCTCAGATTGGGGAGTTTCTGCGGCAGGATCTCTGGCTGCTGTGTTTCACGCCCGCGAAAATGGCAAGCCATCATTCCAACGTTCTTGGCCGACTAGTCGACAATCAGGTCGAATACAGCTTCATCCCACGCCACCCCATCAAATTTGGCCCTGGCCTCCACCTTAGCATCCAGTCGTCTCTTCCATATCGAATCAACCGACCCATGCGTCACGTCGCTTTCTTTGGAGCAACGGGTTACACCGTCTTCAGGTGTCTGATGCATGCTCTTCAGAATACCTCGATATTCTGCCATGTTTGTAAGCAAAGTCTATACTTCCCAAAAATCTACAACCGATATGGCATGTCCACGATCCGCTTGTCATTATTATTATTTCCTACACTTCCCTCATGTCGTGAATGCTAAGAGTTGACCGCCCCAGACGTTAGATGCGAGTCAAGTCTTTAGGAGATGTTTTGCGACGCAGATGACTTCAAAGTGGAATACTTCGGCCGCATGAGGATTGTTACGGCAGACTTGAGCCCAGAAACTGCAGCCCAAGTCCTCTTCCCAGAAGAACTCCGAGGAGAGCCGGTCCACATGGTTGTCTACGGCATCGGAGGCTTCAGGACCTAGGATGTCTCAGCAGAGGAGGGTGACAAGTGCGACGTCTACATCAGCGAAGCTGGCATTTGTCACGTATTTGACGCCTTGCGCATGCGCTTCGCCGCCTTCCCGCCGATGCGAAAACCGCGCCTCATCAGCATTGGCTCCCTTTCCGTTGACGAGCAAGTCGATGATGCCTCTGACCAGCTCGCAATGAAAGTTAGACCTCTTTACTTATGGTTCATGGGAATGGTCAGTAAGGAAGTTCTCGACAATGAAGTCTTTCTCCGGGAAGCGCCTTATGGCAGTGAAGGCAGCGATACGAGCAGCTGTTACTCGGAAAACGAGCGCCACACAAGCAGCAGCAGCATAAGCAGCCTTTCGTCTCGAGACTGGGACCAGCCCAAGGTGAACTTTCCACCGAGAACGCCATATGACGACAAGGTGGGAATGGAGTATACCATTAGCGAAGAGTGCAACAAGGAACTCTACAGTTCCAGTCTGATTGTAAGACCGACCCTTCTCACATACACAAAGCCATGCGGAGTCGAGGCAGTGCGGGTTGGCCAGGAAGGAAACCCACGGCCGCTAGGCTGGACAATCAGCAGATTCGACGCTGGCCACTGGCTATACCAATACGGTATATGCGGTAATATGGAAGGTATATCTTCAATTACCACGTAGACTTGGGTTGGTGTTCAGAGCAGAAGTAGATTAATGATGGATGATTGAGGGACTGGTGGGTTTTCTATCAGCGATTACAAAGGATAGCTACGCCTTCCATTGGAGAAGACAGCGTAAAGTAGACTGAATTATAACTAAATCATCAGCATCACTTGATCCGATTCCCAAGAGCCCTCATCCAATTGAGGGTTATACTATGGACAGGGATCAGTTGGGACTGAGAGCAGACATAGGTTGTCATCCATGATGGGCCCATCCCAGCGACCACTCTGCAGCTCGGCACTAGGCGCCTCTCCCCAGCCACACCGAATCGGTTCAGCTCTACGTACTACTTTAGACAGTGCTCACAAGCCACTCTTAATGGCTGGAAATAGATGGTCTTTCTGAAAGATCTACGAGGGTAATCCCTACTCAAGAAGCAGGTCTTTCACCCATGGCCGTGGCCTGACTTGTCTGGTTCACATCTGCGAAGCAAGCGCCAAGACACCGCCCACGCTAGATGGTGTTCTTTATTGTGATTTTTTTACTTGGAGGATTGCCAGCCAGCAGGTGGAATAAAACCAACGCGCCTCAGGGTCACATTTGGGGGCTTCTAAATAGTCGGCGATGTACCTCCATTTCTGGACGCCTGCGACGGAGGATCGGGTTGCTTACTCCGTACTGTTCGTCTCTCTCTTCATCTCTATCTCGCGTCCCTCGCGTCGAAGTTGAAGGAGGTATAGCGACCATCCGGTTGATCGGGTCAGCACTCAAGTCCGTGTTGCAGTGTAGATGCCTTGGCGGCAAGACGAGAATAACTGTGGACAACAGTAGCATTAGTGACCTTCATGCGATCCAGAGCGCTGGGAGCAGAGGCTGGGGAGCAGGACTAAGCCCTGTTCTTGGGTTCGACGGGGCCATGTAACCCTGCTCTCTGCACCTAGACTGCACTATAACTATTTTGCATGTCGGGGGTTTGTTGGAAACAAGCAGTATTCAGTACTCCGGACGTTTCGCCCTCGCAGTCGACCGCTCTTCATTACCAGGGCGTGGTGGGGAAGGGCCAAAGGCAGCGAGAAACGTCGGGGGTTTTCGGTGATGGCGAGAGGGGGCCACTTTGAATGTCAGCCTGATAAGACTGAGTGGGAAAGATCTACGCTGTCAAGGAGTTGGAAGACCCTGCCTAGGTCTCAATGCGGCCTCAATAGGCGAAGATTGTGGAGAAGGAGCAGTTGGATTTGGTGGTCCACCAGTTGACCGTAGTATGACTGTCCAAACCGTAGGTGTGGTCAATCTCAGAACGGAGGTATCTTTCGAGATGCTGCCTTGGAATTGTCACTGTTACGGAAGTCCTAAAGGGATCATGCGAGCCGCTCTCGTTGATTCGTCCTGGGGAGCACGCATAGATTTACTCAACTTCGAATTGCTTTCCGCATTAGACTAAAGATCGGTAAGATAGTCTCCGGCCGCGTCAAACCCGAAGGGCAGGAGGAGCGGGGACCTAAGAGCAATGGTATTAGGTGATGCGGACATGTCGGGACTGGCTGCGCGCTTCTCTCGTAAGCCGTGATGGGCGGCGCGGGATGAGTGAGCGCGCATTGTCTCGATTTGGTCAGTGAGTGACGTGAAGGCTCAGCTCCCTTGCGAGTATGTGTGTGGACAAAGAAGTCGACCCGGGATGAGGTGAGAACCTTGTTGCCTTGAGCACAGCGCGACTGCACGGTGGTCAGATTTTCGGAGTTTAGTGTGAGGAGTGAGCTAGACCACCGAGTAGCCGGGGCCACCAGACGACAGGCGCGTTGTTGAGCTGCCACAGCTCCAGCTGGCGTGCCGTGAAGGATGGGGGCAGTGGCGTTGTTGGGTTACGGTTGCGACGGTCGAGTTGCTGTAACCCTTGTAAAGGATATAGATCCATGTTGGTGAGAAGTTTGTTTGTTGGAGGTCGTCAGGTTGTTGGAATCCGACTGGATTATTTCCGTGCCTCTGAGAGAGGATTGGGTGGTGTACCTATACCTACCTACCCTGAAAGAGTAGAGGTAAGCTTTGGACGTTGAAAGTAGAGTTCTCAACGCGGTTCGCCGCAGAAGGGAGGAGCCTGAGTGGCCAGCTCCCAATACGGATGGACTTTCGTTCATCCCAAGCCTTTGCCTGAGGCCGTGTTTGTTTCTTCGTCTGATCTAGAAGTCATGTCCCGCGTTGTGGCGGGGCTGTCGTGGAACGTCTTCAGAGGCTGGTGTTGGCCTCGCGGCATCAGGTATTGATTGAAATCTCAGGAGGGGTTTCCCCCGTAATCCCCCAAACTCTGATGTGTACGGCGCTGCTGTGGCCCGACGAACTAACTGATGCACGACGTTGAGAAAGGGGGGGGGCCGCTTCAGGGCCTTTGAGGGTTGCATAGAAAGCAAACGACACGCCGACCCTGACTAAGGTAGGTCGCCTAAGGCGGGCTTTTCGATCAGGCCGTCTTTGGTGCGGCCTTGGTCACCCCGCAGGGTCAAGACCAAGGCAGCCTGCCTGCTGTGCAGCATAAGCCTGGCGGGGGTGAGGTGATGGAAACGTCAAATGCTGAGAGGTTTGATGGATGAGAGTGTAAATTGACGTGCAGTCGGGGGAATGGGATGGCGAGGTGGCGAGGTGGAGAGGTGAGGAATCAGGGCGACGGCGTAGGCTGGCACTGACTGCCCTGCCTTGTGTGCAAAATATTTGGGGGCAGGAAGCATGGGAAAACAGGTGATAGAGGCAGGAAACGGAAACAGTGTGATAGCGCTGACCAGAGAGTGGGGCAGGAGCCCCTGGCAGCGACGGAAAAACGGGATCCTCCGACTAGGGGGATCTCCCGAAATAGATCCATATGCACGGCCTATTTGGGGTTGGTCGACAGGGATCAGGGGAGACGGTCTTGCTGAACGTTAATGACGGAGAAGAGAGTCTGGGGAGCGTCACTAAGGTAAGGTGTGCCTCAAGCGCGCTAAGGAGTTTTAGTGATGCTGAAACGAAGTCCATCCTTCGCTTGAAGATATCTCCAGTGCTCCCTCTCACAAGAATCGCCAGCTATTGCCTCTCCTCCGCCGGACGATGCGGCCGTGTCTGGACGGGAAACGGGGGCGAAGGTTCGTTTAGTGTCGGAGGAGACGTTCATTTATCGTAGATGTTGGTTGACTCTGCTCGAGAAGTTGCACATTGGCTGGACTTCTTCCCGTTCCTTGACTCCCGTCTGCTAAGCATCTGGGTGTCAATAACAGAACCGAGTCCGAGGAATCCGATGTGCCCCCAAATACCCCTACCTAGTCATGCCTGATGATGATGATCTGAGTGGTATTGGGTGCCTCCTTTTCACAGAAACGGCCCCTTGGGTTGGATGCAGTGGTGATCATGAGCACCCAGCATCCAGGGCTGGGGCTGAGGCCTTGGGGAAACATCACACCATGCGGCTCCAAGACACCAAGACGGGCTCTTCCCTTTCCAACCAGGTCGGCCGCCGTAACATCGTCAGTTGTTTGAAAGCCCTGATCCACAGAAGCTTCAGCACATTAGGTGCATGCGCATGCGGGAACCTTGAAGGCTCTATTTTTCTGCTGCGTGCAGAACCAGGGATGCCCAAAAATCAATGTGACCCTCTTGGCGACTGGGGCATGTTCAGGCAGAAGCTTTCTTCGAGCACAAGTCCGAATCGCCCAGTCGGCGTGAGGGAGATGCTACAAGGGTCTATCGGATGTGAGGCGACTATTCCATGGAAATTATTCACTCCGTTGCATCAAATTCACGATATGTATGAAAAACCAGCGAGAGAATACTGCAATTGATGTGACTTGCGAACTCGTCATTTCTGCCTGTAGATGGATGTTGGCAACTATCGCTTTTGATCGCCGAATAAGATCCAAAGTTCTCTTTGGGTTGTTGCAATTGAGTGTGGCTGAACAGGGGCGGAGAAGGAGAGGGTGGGTGGGACGGTGTGGAGGGGGCTCGATGTGAGAGAGACCCACTTCGGACCCGCGACCGGGCCCCGCTTCCTGCCCGGCACCTGCACCCGGCGCGGCTGCCTTGGCCTGTTCCCTTTGAGGAAGTAACGGATCTCGCCTCTGCGGTTGCGGCCATCAGGTAAGTGATTTTCCAAGTTAATAATACATGAAATCTCGGACTTGAAAGACAAAGCTCAGATGCCTGTATGGTCAAGATCCTCAACTGCTGTTACTGTCCAAGCAAGGTGCTACCTGCCTGGTCGAGAAACAAATTGGAAGACGGAGCGAACCGTTCGTGGAGTGTAGATGGCCCCAGTAGTTTCCTCATTGCGCGACAATCTCGCTGGCGATTGGTTTTGGCGCGGTTAAGCGACAAATCACATCATCGGGAGGAAGCAACGCCACACACGTCCTGCTGCCAGGTTTACATCCTTCTCCGTCTCGCTTATGAATCGAGTGTTGACGGTGATTTGCTGGTCGAACCATCCACTACTCTCTTAGTAGCGGGTCCTCTTGCCGTTCTCCAACGTCTCTCACGGAGGTCATGTCCGCCTCCTCGCGAATCGTACCTCATTAAGCGGTTTTAGGTGGCTGGCTAATTACCCCCTCCCGCGCATTTCCCGAAAACGGCGTCGCGTGCGATCCTCTCATAACCGTCGTGTTCCTTTTCCTCGAACATTTCAATCCTCTGCGCGTGCGAGCGGGAGGATTTGGCTACAGCCACGCGGCAATTAGAAAATGGAGAATAAGACAGCGCGCCAAAACAAACGCTTTTCAACCTGTTGTCGCTCCAGGAGCCGGACCTAGGAAGCCGATTCCGGCACTTGGAGCGCGGGCTGTGTAGATGTGAAATGTCAATGCCTCTTCAGCAAGAAAATTGAGGTAATTTTCAGGAAGCAAAAATCAATTGCAACGAGCCTCCCCTCATCTTTGAGGCCAAGTGTCCAGAAAGGATTCCGACAGGTCTAGGAATCCGCGCCTGATTTCGATGTTTGGATCAAGCATTGATGGGCAAAAGCCAAGCATTGATTTGACTTTGGCACTGCAGTGAGGACAAGAGCTTTGGCCAGAGAGAGAGAGTTCCATATCGGGCACGTGGGTACTAGTGGAAAGACGCTGTATCTGTTGAGGGCTCCAGTTCTCAGGAAAGCTTGTCACAAGAGATCAGCAAACGCGATGGCCAGCCACTGGCCCTCTGCCATTCAACCCCCGGCTTCAAGGACTACCTAATTGTGGCTTCCATCTTCCACTTGCAGGAAGCTGCTGTCCGGATCTTTGAACGTAAGCTCCGAAAGTCTCTCGCCTAGTCCCTTGAGCCGTACGGTGTTGCCGCTGTCCTGAACCACCCGCGCGCCAATGTCAATCATCTTCCAGACGCGGTTAATAGAGATTGCCTACCACATAGCGGATTTCTCTAAACGTGAGTGCACCGCCTGCGCCCAGGGAAAGAAGGTTATTCACCGGCTACTCTATCCGTCCAAAGCTAATTCTTCTGCACGTTGCGCTCCCATAGGATCCCCCGGGTATACCGTCCTTCGTACCAGGTTGCTGACCAGTCCGGCTGCGGGTGACGGCGGTGGCGCTTACGCTCATGACTTGGAAATCTTGCGGTCTGGACAACCTTTATGATTCATGTTCGTTCCTGTTTAGATAAGCAGCGCCCGTTCTCTTGCTATTGGATAGCTGATACGATTGACACGATTGACGAGACTACCGCCGTGGCGCACCCTTCTCGATAGACGCGCGATCCATCGCTTGTCATAGGGCTATGTACACCAAAACTATGTTCTCTCATGGAGTATGCGTGAAGTTTCCAAGCGCGGAATAGTAAAACTTGATTTCGTAGAGTTTTCCGTGTTTCTCCGACTTTAGGTCAGTGTCGTGCCTCTCTTGAAGTGCACACTTTTTGGGAACCTAGGTAGTTGAGCCCAATTCCCACATACTAATCTTCTCCAAAGCCACCATTTACGGAATGATGCTGTTTGAATTGTCATCTTATGCGCGATTGATACTTAAAAGTGCATCTGTCATGGTTTTAATCCGTATCCGTAGGCTCACAAAAGTTGTGTCCGCCATATACACCAAGGTAAGAAGAGAAACGGGAAACAGTGCCACGAGAAAGAGAAGCGAGTCTTCCCCCCACACGGCCCGAATCCTTCTCTCCTCTCCCCCACACCCCCCTTCCAAATCCTTCGAATCCTTCCCGTCCAACCATCTCACTTCCCTCCTCCGAGAGATCTGGTCCATACCGTGTACGTACCTTAGGGTATTTTACGGAGTACACACCCGTGACGCTCTTACTACGTACTGAGGGACGATCCACTTCCCGTACGATCCCTACCGCATCCCGGCGGTATCCACAAAACGGATTCAACCCCTTGCTCGCCGACGTTGCACTAGGAATGACTGCATGCCATGTTGTGTTGGGCTGAGTAGTCGCGCACTCACGGTAAGGTGGTCCCTAGTGTAGCGTACTCTCTGTGCACACAGCAAGGTAGATTTGGGATTTGAATTTTTGCTGCTGTCTTGAACTATGTTTCTCCAGCTGCCAAGCCCCAGAATCCGTCCCAGATTCCACACAAAACTTCGTCTCTGGTTCGCCCTTCCTGGTGCTTCTTCCTTGGCGCTCAGCAGATGGCGGCCAATGTAACCTTCATTCTCGTTCCCTTCCAGTTTTTTCGTCCCATGTCTGTTCTGGCTTGTCCATCCGTTCTGCTTGCCCCCCCCCCCCCCCCCCCCCCCCCAAAAAAAAAGTAGCACATTGTGAATAAAGAAGAAAAGGAAGGGAGAGAAATGTAAGCCCGGAACCTCTTGAACGCCGAAATTGTGTGTCAGTATGCCTAAACCCCCAAAGACCCTCTAAACCGGTGAAAAATGTGAAACAAAAGGAAACCAACGAGACAAAAAAGAATGCCTTGCCGGTGAATGAAAGGCTGCCTGCCTGCTCGTCTAGTTGGGAGCTATGCAGTGATGATGAAGAAGCTGTTGAAGACACGGTCCCATTCCAAGGGACCCCCAAATGAAATCTATTCTGTACAAGGGGGTAAGGAGGTGTGTGTGTGTGTGGTTTAGCTCTCGCTCCCATAGAGCCCAATGCAAGAAAAGTACCAAAGAAAATGGCAGGAGAAAAAGAAATAAGGAAATGATTCTTCGTCAAGTCATGAGAAGGGAGCGAAACCAGAAAGATGGAAAAAATTCACGAGGATGACTCCAACCAGCCTCCCCCCATCATTTCTTGAAATAGTTGTAAAACATGGCGTCCATGTCGCTCCCCACCGCGGCCGCTGCCGCAGTCATCCCCTCGTGACCGCCGCCACCCATGTCGTTGACAGACGGCCACTCCCAGTTGGTCGCCGCCCCCATGTCAAAGTCGACGAGCATCTGCCCGCCGCTGTGGTCGGGGAACCAACCCGCCGCGCCAGCCTGGCAGTCCACCAGGTCCGCGAGCGTGAGGTGGTGATCGCCCGTCGGGGCCCCCAGCGCCGCGGGGTCCATGACGTGAGCGAACATTTCGTCTGCGGCACGCCAGTCGTGTTGTTGCTGCTGATGCTTGTGACTGTCTCCGGGGCTGAAGGGGTTGAACGGGGTTGCCAGCTCGCTCGTCGAGGTCATGGAGTCGTCTGCCGACGAAGACGACGAGACGGACGGCATCATGGACGTGTCCATGGGGCTGATAAAGGACGACGCCGAGTCCACGGCCGTCGGGGCGCCCGAGAACGGGTGGTCGTGGTGGTGCTGCGGCGGGGTGTGCGGGAGCGAAGAATTGCGGCGCGACATGGAGTGCGTCGTGGTGGACGACGACGAGGCGTACGAGTCGGAGCGCGTGTGGTGGCTGATGCTGACGGGGATGCTCATGCCGCTGCCCGTGCTGTTCCTGTTGCCCTTGCTGCTGCTGCTGCTGCTTCTGCTACCGACGTGACCGCCAAACGCGCGCATCACGGCCTTGAGGTGCTTCTTGATGGCGCGGACCTGGCCGCCGGGGGAGAGAAAGTCCGAGGCCGCGATGCCCAGGAGGCGGGACGCCAGGGCCTCGAGGCGGCCTTCGTAGACGGCAATCATTTGCGGCTCCATGTTGAGGACACCGGCTTGCTTTTGCGCGTAGATGAAGGATAGGCCGCGGGCGCACGTGTCGAGCGCGAGGCAGAAGACGTCGGGGAAGGAGTTCTTGCTCTGCGCGGGCATGATGACGGGGCCTTCTTGGGACGTCTGCTCGGCAATGTGGAGCATTATGCTCACGAGCTCCTGCGCCGAGCCGATGAAGCGCTCGACCGTTTCCGCCGTGAGGGAAAAGGGCTCTGCCGGGGGCGGTGCGCCGGGTAGGATGGCTGGGAAGAGGAGGTGGATGGCCATGGTGTGGTACACGGACAGGACGAGGGAGCGGGAGGGCGCGTGGGCGACCTGGCGGTTGAGGAGGTGGATGCTCTCCATGAGGACGCGGTAGACCTCGCGGCAGACGCACTCCATGTCCTGGGGTGTGCTGCCCTGTTGGATGCGCTGGAGTGCGAGCAGGGGCGCCTCCTGCCAGAAGTTTGTGCTGACCGTCTCGTTGGGGTCGGGCTCCTGCGGGTAGAGGGCGAAGATGTAGGCCGTGATGGAGGCGATGTGGGCGAGGGGCCACATTTCTTTGATCATGCTCTTCTGCTTTTGCAGCGTGGAGAAGTTGTCCGAGACCTCATCGAGGCGCATCAGCACGGAAGAGGTCTCATCGACGGGGAGGAAGATGGAGGTGAGGCTCGTGGGGAGCAGTTGCGAGAAGTGGGTACCCATTTGCAGGAAAGTCCAGAGGGTGAGAGTGTAGGTCGTCCAGTAGAGGTAGGCGACGATTTCCTTTTCGACCTCGCAGACGTCGATGCCGTTGATGCGGCTCGTCGTCAGGGGCGCCGAGGAGGCTGAGATGGTGTCCTTGATCTCAGTCGCCAGGCGGCCAGAGAGGCCAATGTAGCACGTGGCACGCTTGATCTGCCCTTGGCAGAGGCTGTTCCATCCCAGGAGCATCAGGACCTGTGCTGTGCTGATCCCGGGGAGGGAGATGCCGGCGCCGGGCATGCCCGGTTGGCTGACCCGGGTTGAGATGGGGCGGTTCTGGAGTTGAGCTGACGCCCACCGAAGTAGAACGTGTCCTCTCGCCATGGCTACCTCGTCGCCGAGGGAGAAGGATGCGTCGGCGAGGATGACTGCCAGAAGGACCTCGTCGTGTGTGCCGTCTCTCAGTTCGCGAAGAAGCAAGGTCTTGGAAACGAGAAAGGAGAGAGGGTGGACGCTGTACCACACATCGACCAATTGTCCAATCTGTCGAGTGCCGTAGTCGGTCAGGGGACTCGGTCCTGTCGGTGTCGTATCGAACATCGATGGTGTGGCGTCGCTTGCGAGTCCTGTAAGATAGAATCTACCACCGCCCTGTTCCATGAAGATGGATCCCAAACCGCCAAACTTATCAACCACAAGGCCGACCAAGTCATGAGTGAGAAGCTGTAGGATGCCAGTGTACTTGGGTCAAGTTAGCTTAGTGCCCTCTAGAAGGTAGTCTTGGACTCATACCTTGACATCTCGGTGACTGAACTTTGAGTTGACGACATTCTCGCTCCGATCCTGCAAAGTCAAGCGGAGAGTCTGGTTATACGCCGATATCCTCTCCTGCCACGGGTTCGACTTGGGCCCAGGCGCCGGATTCTCGCCAAAGTTTTCGATAAACATGCTGTTGAGCATGCTAGCCACGTCTTCGCCGCCGCCCATCAGGGCCATGGGCGCTGCACCACCGCTTCCATCCATCTGCGTAGGCTCCTCCATGATGGGCATCGAATGTGGCGAGCCACCCGTCGAGGCTCTCTGGCGTTGCGGTACGGGAACACCGCTGCCGTCGCCGGTGCTGTTGTTTCTGCTCATGTCCTGGGATACGGTGCGGGTTTTTGGCGGCCGTGAGTCCCAGTCGTAGACGCAATCGACATTTTGCTTGCGGCAAGCTTCGCAGATGGTCTCGTTGCTGCACTTGATCTTGCGTGCGCGGCAGAAGCTGCAGCTCTTGCGGAGCGGGTGTCGGGATGTGAGAGACATAGTCGGGTATAGTTGTCTAGGTTTTGGAAGTTGGTAAAAAGAAAGAGGGAACTGATATTATACAATACACATTGGTTATGTTTGTACAATAATATATTGGTACCAATGCAAGAGGGAAAAAGATGGATAGGTTATAGGGATGAGCCGCCGTCGACTATAATTGGTTGTAGTTTGGATGGTTGATTGAGGAGGCTTGAAAGGCTTGAAGTAGAAAAGGAAGAGTCTGAAAAGTTGCGTCACTCGTCTTCTTCTTCAACCCTTTCGTCTGCAGTGGCAAAGTCTGATACCAACATGATCCATTGTCGTGGTTGGTGGTTTCTTTGAGATGTTATAACTTCAGTCTACAGAGCAAGCCAAAGTTGGAACAAGATGAGACGAGGCAAGGTACCGTTGAAGGATGCGCTCTGGGGTTCGAATGCACAGTGTCGGGAAGGCATCGAGGGGGGGTGAACAGTCAATGGAGGAGGTGTTGATGTAAGAGAAGGGGGTGTTCTATGGTCGACATGGGGCGCGGCTTCAAAATTTGAGAATGTACAGGTAGACTTCACTCCCATCAGCAAAAGCCCATCAGATTTGGTCCATGTGTGGTTGTGGGACGGGCTTTTCGACTTCGTGCATGTTTACATGTACTCAACTTACTCTGCCTCAATCTTAGGTTGGGGGCCAAAAGTCAGCAATTCGAGTCCGAGTCCAAGACGAGTTAGCCGACCTTGTCGCGCTTGCTGCGCCGCTCTCAAGTTATGCAAAAAGCTGCACAACAATAACAAGCGCGGAGGTACATGACCTCTTGGAGGCAGCGACAAGAGTCCTTTTGCAATTGCGTGTATTCACGGGTACTCCTGCAAGTCAAAGTCGTGTCCAGCCAAAACAGTCCTAGTGTCATTAGAACCCCTGCTTCTCGAACGATATCCTTGTTTCCCCCCACGCAGCGCGAAAAGACAAGAAAAGAAGACATTGTGAGCCCGCCCGTGGCTGTGTTTCTTCTCTTTCTCTCCAGGCACCCGCTAAATCTCATCCGACGGCTATCCGTCATAGGGCTTTTGGTTAGGTTACTCCAGAATGAGTGAAACATCAATCTTAGACAACGGCATTCCGAAAAGAGATAGATCCATACGAGCTAGGCAGAATAATAAACGTCTTCTCTCTCTTATGTCTTTGGCGACACAGACTCTAGCTGCGGTACAGTGGGTTGGAAACCATACAGGAACTTGAGAAACCAGAGCCAGGCGCCGCCGGGCAGGAAAGCGTAGATCAACCATCGAAGCAACGGTCCAATGCCATATGGTAGAAAGGCTCCGTGTAGTAAAATAAAGCGGAAACTGAACTTGACCACCTCTTTTGCCCTCTTTTCTCGCATCTCGCTGTACTTTTGGAGGATCGGTTCCGCGTTCTCTGTCAGAGACCCTCGGGTTTCCCGGATCAGGCTAGCTAGGATCGCCGCATCTTCGATTCTGCGTGTTGGCAATATCTCGAATTAGCATCTTCAACAACGTTCACCTCACAATCTCGATCTCAGGTATGGAGAAACTCACGCTAGGTTTCCGCCCTGGCCGCTATTCATGAAAGAGTCAAAAGTTAGTGAAATGCCGTTGGAACTAGGAAGAGGGATGGATGGGAAAGCCTTCCCCGGGGGAGCAGCCCCAAGCTAGATGCTTAGCTGCCAGACTAGGCTCTGTGATCTGCAACGGAGGGATTTTGAGGGGGGCGCGCGTTACTGCAAATACGTACAAGGCACTGGTCATGCTGTGCGCGGCTGTTGGGACCAGTCAGCGGGTTTTTTTCTCCTTCATCGCGGAGTTACCTTTGGCAAGAAAGGCTATGGAGAGATAGGGTAGAGAGAAGAGTAAGAGTAAGAAGCTTACAGTCGCCGATGAGACAGACTCTGCCTCGGGCCATTGACGGAAACTCGACTTCTTGGAACATATTGCAAGCAAGGATCCGCTCGTTCTTGTCGACAACTAGAGTAAAAACACGTCAGATTTGGGCGTTCCTTCAAGCCGCCGGCAATCTCGTCAGCAAAACTGGAAGGGATTCAGCTTCCCGACTTACTATCGCTAAACTCTCCTTTCTCCGCGAACGGGTGGAACTTGTCTCCGTAGACTGAATTGATGGTATCTTCGTCACAGTTACTCCAGATAGACCGGTCGTTGTCGACCTTCTCATCGGTTTTCTGTTTGCCAAGATTAGCTGAGCTCCCCTCCTACCGGGATGCGTAGGAGTACGGAGGACTTTTCGTACCGTGACGCCGATGAACCATTGCCTGTTGTCGGGGCATGGCCAAGTGGTGAGAGTCGAGTTTTCGTAGAGCATCCAGTTGGCGACACCGAGGTCCTGGGAACCGAGATGTTCCAGCGGAGCGGTGATGCCGCTCATGTGGACGCGCCCTGTGAACTTGATGGTATTTGCCTCCTTGAGACCAGCGTCTCGTGCCAGGCACCTGCGTATGGCTGATCGTATCCCATCAGCGCCAACAACGACGTGAGCGCGGAACTCTCTACCCTCGTCAGAGACCACTCTGACGACGGACTCGCTCGGGTCGTCAATGACATCGACAATCTTTGTGTTGAATTGCACGACATTGTCACTTCCAGCCGCTTCGAAGAGAAGCCTGTGGAAGTGATGACGCTCCAACGACACAACTGGGTACCCGAACTTGGCCTCACAACCCGCCCAGTCCACCGTATTCCAGAGCTTCTTACCACGCCATATCTGCACTTTACGCAGCTTCTGGCCCGCTTTCAGCACTTTGTCGTACACGCCGAGCTGATCGAGCATGCGAAGACCGTTGGGCGAGAGAGAGATGCCCGCGCCGACGGGGCGCAGCACGTCGCTGCGCTCGAGGACCTTGCACGAGATGTCGAGCCGTGAGAGGATGGCTGCCAACGTGAGACCGCCGATGCCGGCCCCGACGATGAGGACCTCGGTGTCGACTGGAGTTGAAGACATGGTTGGAGGGGGAAAAGAGGATTTCTGATTGGACATGTAACGTTCCCCTTGAGAGGATGATGTTGTTTGAGTTGCCTGTTTGACGGTTCCCTACGGTATCGGGCCGAATGAAGGATGATGGGTTTGTGTGCAAGTAGTGGAGTTCCATCGGATTTCACGGCAGTTGAGAGAAGCCTTATGTATTGCTCGTTAAATGGGGTTCGAAAGATCATCGTAAGGTCCAATCACGGGATAGAGAGGCCATTGTTGATCCGTGTTCCTTCGGAATAGCGCTACCTAGGTCCCCGGCCGTCCTGGAGCGGAACAACCGACGAAAGCAGGGGGCTACGACGGAAGGTTTTGAGGCTTGGGCCGGCCGGGTTTGTTCTTTATTAGACTTGGTGGACTTCGATGTGGGCTCCGGCTCCGCGGGCTGTGCCGCACCGTTCCGGACAGGACCTCAGCGGCGGCCGATCCATTAGCGCGGGAACATTACGCAGTGTTGAGTGACACATACGCGAATATAAGCACAGCGTTAAGCAAGTTCAATCAACCATTAATCCAAAAAGTTGCAAGGAGCATCATATTACACCGATGATATAGGCTCTCTAATTTGACGACCTTGGAAGTTTCCAATTTCACTGGAGTAAACGTCCTCTACTACTGCTAATCTAATTCTGGTCTAATTGCCCTTTTACTAGACGATACTAGAACAAGGAACTCTTCGGTTCAGTATTTGACTTGGTAGATTTTGCTTAATCAAAGATGATAAGCCATTAATAAGAATTTTTTTCAGCACCAGAAGGTACCTATTTCTCGAGCCTCACGAACTGCTGAGAGGCTCTTCTCCCTACTCACTCGAGGGTTTTCAGGTATCACATATGCCTTCCAGTCGCAGTTTCAGCCCACCTCTTGCGCTACGATAGTAGACTACTTCCCATGACTATGTATATGCCAAACTATCACTCTTTCCAAGATAGCCTGTAAAGTTTACTTAGCGCTGTGGCTTTTCGTGGTTATAGAGGCGTTAGGATGAGGCGGTGCTTCAACAAGCGGCACGGTGGCTGGACATTCGGCGGAAAGCCATTGAGGGGTCGTGATTCGACAACGAGAATTCTCATTTAATTTGGGCTTTGAGGCTTTCGAAGAGGTCGGAAATTTAATTTGAGGAGGAGGGAAGATAGCTCATTGAGGCGACTCCCGTTCGGGGCCGGGCCGAGATCCACTATTTCCGGACAAATTCCCACATGGATCCGGCAGTTCTGAAAATAGAAACAGTTGGTGCCTGCTCGCTTCTTGAGTGAGCATCTGAGCCGCTTTGAGCAGAGATCTCCCTCAAGCCACCATAAGTTACCCAGATTCACTGTAGTTCCCACCTGCACGATCAATCCTTGAAGATACGACCAACATATCGTGAAAAGATCAACACGCTTCTGAGTATTATTGAATTCTACGTCTACCAATCCGGATATTCTATGCCGTTGCTCCACAGATATGCTTACTAGTACTCAACTTGCACACTAGAATCGAGCCTTCGATTCATTCCTTGCCGGGGGGTCCACGGGCCTTCAGGAGTACCCTATGCCGAGGGCCTGGCTTCGTCAATCCCACGAGCAGTCGAACGTGACAAAGAGTGGATTTCCTACCACTGGATCTCAGCGATACCGACCTGAAGAGTCTCAAAGTTCTGGAGAAGCCGTTAGTATGGCGGGCATCGTCACTGATAGACAACCTTGCGGGAAACATACCATGATAGCGACCTTGTCCTTGAAGAATGTCTCGCCAAAGTTTCCGATAAACCTGTCGCCAGTCGCCATGGCGCGCACGTTCAAAGCGCACCTTCCGTCCGGCAGCGTCTCGACGTAGTGCTTCGGCGTGTTGGTCCAGACCTTGTCGTGTCCCGCAAATTTGTAGCTCACGGTGGGGAAGGAGGCGACGTTTCCGCAGTCGACAGAGTACATGGACTGGTTGCCGTTGTTGATGATGGTGGGGTCCTCGAGCGTGAGCGGCTGGCCAGACGTGAGGTTGACGAGCTTGTCGTACGCGTTCGGGGTGAGGGGGATGCCGCGCCCGTACGAGGCGTGGTCGAAGATGGAGGCCTTGCCCGAGCTGTTGGACGTGGGTTCCGTGGGCTGCAGCTCGTCGCCGATCCAGAGCGAGTCGAGGGGCGTGGCCCAGTAGTTGTAGAGACCCGGGGAATACTCAAAGGCCAGCGTGTTGACGTCGGGGAAGACGTAGTTTGCGTACCAGTAGATCTCGCTGTCCTTGACGACCTGGTCCATGATGCCGCCGAAGGACTGGAGGCCGTCGCTGCCGCCGCAGGTGGGCTTCATGGACTCCTCGTAGCAGTAGACGAAGCTGATGGTCGGATTCTTCCATTGGCCGGCCTTCCACTGCTGGTAGAAAGACGATTGGAAAGAAGCTGAGAACTGGTCAGTTCAATGTGCCTATGGAAGGCTTCATCAAAACCTCCTGGGCACGTACCGTTGTCACCCTTGAAAACAGGAGAAAGGCCCAAAACTCCAGTGAACGGGTACGGGAAGGCAGAGAGATCAAAGTTGGTGTCAGAAAACTGCATGATGGAGTTTGAAGTCACCGGGCCGATCTGAACAGCATCTTGCGCGTAGTCGACGGTGAGAGGTTCCCAGAAGAAGAAGTGGTTGGGGAGCCACGTGCGGCTAGGGAAACGCTTCGATGCGTCTCTGTGAGACGTCGACTTGGCCGGGTCGTAGTAGAGCTGCTGCACGTTGAGGCAGGCCGCGGGGTCGTTCTCTTCTCCGTAGCACTTGGGTGAGAGGATGAACTGGCTGATCCAGGTCCAGTCTACAAAGACGGGGATTTCCTGAGGAGGGTTACCGATCTTCTGCTGGGAGAGGAACCCGAACTGGTTCCAGGTGAGTTGCATATCGAAACGATCGGCGGCCCAACTGCGAGGAGCCCTCATCTTGCCTGCTTCAGTCGAGCCGGCCAAGAGAGGCAGAAGCACTGCGAACTTGGAGAGTTGCATCTTGTCGATGTTGCGGGATGATTCTCGGGGCAAGTGCTTGGAAGGAGGATGAAGGTTTATTATGAGGAATGGGTGAGGCAAAGTAGAGCTGATGAGTTTGGAACTGTCATTAAACAGTGATCAGGTCGTGCTTCTTAAACATCTCCTCTTGTCGGAGGTGTTCCCGAGCAAGTCTGGATGTCAGCGTGGCCCTGACCTCCGTTTCCGTCCTCCCTCGGAGGCTTCAGTGTAAGTGAGCAAAAGCCCAATTCAGGAGACCAAGATGTTTATTTTTGCGGAGTGACTAGTGACCAAGCCACAATTGGTCTCCGTGAGATCGACAGCACTCGTCTTGCATTTTGTCTGGGTTCTCCATGTCTGTTTGTTTTGAATGTGAGGGGAGCCTAACGACACTTTTACAGCCAGAATCGAGGGGAAAGACGAAGGAAGAAATGGAAGATTGATGTCAACGGCTTTACCAACGTTGCCGCATACCCGACACTCTGGGACTTGGTTTCACTGTCGGACACTCGCCCGCGTCTCTTTTGAGACTACCGTTGTTGTCGCGATGTCGTCATGGTAGCACACGATATCAAACAGGGCCCTTTACCATGGATCTCGATCCAATCAAGCTGTCAACGGTCGCATGCGTCGCGTTCATGAAGTTTCCCGAAGACCGATGCCAAAGCTAACGCCGTTGACGCAGGACACCAAGGAGCATCTGGGGAACAGCCTTCTATTGTTTCCACGGCTGCGGATCAGTCACTCGCCACGCGCTGCCCCTCCTAGTCACCGCCGTGGTCGTCCAGTGTGCCATGGAGGACCTCCGGTGAGTCTAAAGGAGAAGCGGATGGCGCCTGGAAGTGGTCCTTTGGGCATCCGTGCCATCTCCTTAGCATCTTTTGCTGCTATCGGAGCGTTTCCACGCTTCAAGGCTACGAGATGAATCTTCTCTGGAACACGATCCAGGACGGCTGGAGTCTGACATCGCCATCTCGGTCGTGAGATTTCATCGCCACTTTGCATCACGGTCTGCAACTTTTTGCCATCACGGACTTTTTGTCATCACGGATTCAGTTTGCAATGTTCGATATAAGACTTGGTCTTGGAGGAGGCTGAAAAGTGCTTCCAGGAGGTCATAAACAAGCTTCTCGGCGCATCAGGTCGTCAAAGGTTATCGTGAGCATCTCGCCGGTTGACCGGTCTCATTAAGATCCAAGAAAATCTTACTTTTACTCACCAAAACCCAGCATTGTTGCCAAGACTAATCACTCTCTGCTTTCGCTACTATCACGACAGTACCGTCTCTTACTTATCTTATCATATTACTTATAAGTACTCTCACATCACTATTATCAACATGGAGGTTATCACTCTCCTTCAAGGAGACGAAGACTCCCACCTTACACCATTTTTCATGTGCCACGCCATCTCAGGGCTCGCACTACCCTTTCTCCGCCTCGAAGCCCTCAGCGAAGACGATGAGAGGCCAGTATACGGCATCACCTCCCCTATGCATTGCCCTGGAGGCGATGACTTCGAATTTCCCGAAACCTTGCGAGACCTGGCTGCACTCTACGTCGATAAGATCAAGGAAATTCAGCCGATGGGGCCTTACTTGCTAGGAGGCTGGTCCATGGGCGGTATGATTGCCATGAATATGGCCGTGGTTCTGCGTGATCAAGGAGAAAAGGTTACAAAGGTGATCATGCTCGACTCCGCCAACCCAGAGACCTTCCCTTCGTTCCCCAGCGCCAAGGATCACCGCTCCCTCACCCACCTCACCTTCACCAGGACCGTTGCTGCCGATATCAGACTCATGGACTCTGATTCTTCTCCTATCGGGTCGCCCGTCATCAGCGAGAGCGAGTTCGGAGACTATCTTACCCCTAGTGAGAACCGAACGAGTACGTGGGGAACATTTACGACGGAGGTCTCGTACTCCAGCAGCGCCTCGAGCGATTACGAAGACGATAGCCCTGCTTGGTCACCGAGCACCCCCGGATCACCCGCATGCAGCAGTGACGCCGGATCAGAATACTGCCCCGAGCAGAACCGAATGCTGGAAGACTTTCCTACAGCCACGGAGGATCAAATCGACGCCGAGATCCTCACAGCAGCTCACGAACTCGAGGTCACCAGACACGACGACGAAGAAGAAAGCGAAAATGATGAAGACGCGGACCAATACGAAGAATTGGACGACGACAACGAACCAGACCAGGTACGCGACTTTCTGCAAAAGATCAAGAAACACATCCACAAAGGCCTCGGCCTCATCTCGACCGTCGAGCCAGGCCAGCTACTTCCCAAAGACGGCGTCTCCGACTTCCACACCGTCCTCATCAAGTGCAAGCCCGACCCGTTCGACGACCCCAACCTAACTCAGCGAGAGCGCGAGGGCGTCATCTTTGTCCGCTCCGTCATGCGCGAGAAGGCCATGTGCTGGGAGGCGGACAAGTTTGCCAAGTTTGAGACGGTGCCCTTCAGCGGCGACCACGATGGCGCATTTGAGCCCCAGCACGTGGGCGAGCTGAGCGGTATTTTCAGAAAGTGTCTGCAGGGTCTGGAATGATCATGGTTCTTGGGAACTCCCTCTCTGGTTGAAGTCCTGGTGGCTTCATTACTTGTTTTTACTGTCGGGGTTTGTGCTTTTAGGCACGCGTGCATTGGAAGCGATGGACGGCAATGTGATTTACGGTGTTATTGGCGGCATTTCTGACGGAGTTTGGAGTTCATTGCATCTACGGGTCGAGTCGTATTGGCGCGTCGTTAAATTAGACATATATTAAGCACTTACTCTCGTAGCTCACAAAATTACATAAATTCTTTACTGAAGCAATTTTCAACGCTCAACACCATCATCACTACTGCGCATGTAGGGATCCAGGGAGCAAGTAACTTTTCTTAGAGTTATCCCTATCTTCGCGCTTCGTTAACATAGATCTCCCCTTAGACCAGAGCGGCGGGGGCCGTTGATGGGATTCAAAGCTTGGCGGCTGCGCAGCAAGGCTTGTTCGAGGCACTGCGAATCTCGATCCAAAGGAGGAGCCGGTAGCAGAAAGTAAACAACTGACGTCAGAAAGACTTTAATCTTTGTTTACATTCTCAATCTCCGTGCCCCTCTCCGACATATTGCTTAAGCTCGCGGAGGTATAGAGACACGCTTAAACTCCCCTACCCCTGCTTCTTCCGGGTGAAAGAGGACTGGCCTCCGCCCCCATCTGGATGCATGCCTCCTCCTTCACGGAGATTTTTTGCTGACAGGCAGCTCAATGTTCCAGAAGATTAGACTACGTTGCATTCGTGTAACACGGAAATGTGATGAAACTCAATTCTGCTCAGTCAGGCTTGATGATCACGAGTGCTGAGAGTATGAAATCCCGCCAGCAAATCAGGGGCGTCAGTTCCTGACTGGTTATGCACACATTGTAGTTGTATCCGCTCAATAAGGAGAGCACTGGGCTTCGGTGAGAATGAGGCAAAAATGGGAGGCGTGTTTGATGGTATAGTATTCGCAACCGTTATTTTGGCTTATAGACTGGTCTAATAATCATAACCTCGTTGAGTTTCAATTCTTCCACTGCCAAATGTGTCTTGCTCATTATTAGTTGATTATTCTACTCATCCAAACGCTGTGCATCACAAAGTTCTCAACAGCCCGCCATGATCTCGGGCCACTTCCTCCTAGAAACCTTCACTTTCAAGTCTCCCTGATAAGACGTCAGTCAGTTAACATAGATAGTCTTGGAGTATTGGACGACCTACCTTCAGCCAAGGCGAGCCAACCTTGTCAAAATCCAGGCCTTCAAAGTCCACAGTCCGAGGTTGGTCCGGCGACGCCCATGCAACATCATAAGATCGCAGCAGCGTCGTCAACGTCTGCGTCACAATGATCATGGCCATCTTCTCACCAGGACATCGGTGGCTGCCACCCCCAAAGAGCATGCTCTTCACGCCGTTGCTGTCCTTTTCCTCGAGGTTGACGAGCTTGTTCTCGGCGTTGAGCCACCGTCCGGGCATCCAGGTATCGGGATTCGGATAGTTGGCGGGGTCGTGGTGGGTCAAGTAAGGCGAGATAGACACGACTGAGCCCTTTGGTACGGTGATGTCCGTACCCGGGACAGGCACTTCCTGCATCGCGAGGCGGAGGCATTTCATACCTGCGTAGTACCGCATCGTCTCCTTTATGCAAGCCTGGAGGAGTGCTGAGTCCGTGTTTCCTTCACGGGCATCTCTCTTCACGGCGGCCATGACATCAGGATGGCGTAAAAGCTGCGAGCCGTTTGTCAGTTTTGTCGCTCATTCACATGAAGCGAGAAATCAAGTACGTACGCAGACAACTACCCATGAGATTGCAGCGACTGTGGATGTGTGAGCAGCAAACATCAGGACAGTGTGATGAGAAGGGAGATAGTGCCTCAGAGGCGCCATGCTCTGTTCATGCAGCGTGTGCGTGATGTAGTCCGGCAGGTCAGTCTCGAGGTCACCATTCTTCACCGCGACGTGTCGCTGGCTCAGCTTTTCCCAAAAGATCTCTTTTACACGCTCGCGGGCGTGATGCAGTCTCCTCGCTGGTGGATGAAGCACCCAGTCAGGCAGCACAAAGGACCAGATGCTGCCAATGTCGGACTCCATCGCGTGCAAAAGGTCCAAGAGCTCTCCGCTCGATTCATAAAAGTCATCGCCCATCAGCGTCCTGACGATGACCTTGTGCGTCAACTCGGACACTCCATCAAAGAGCTCCACGTCACTCTTGGTCGTCCACTCGAGTGCGCACCGGTGCGTCTCCTCCACGGTGCACTTAGCCATGTGTGCCTGCGCCGTGGCGCGGTTGATGTACCGGCTGAGGGAGCCGACCATCACCCTGATGTTGTCCATGTATCCGGGGTCGAGGATCTTGTTGAGAAATATCCCCTGGATCACATGTGAGTTGAGACAAGTTCGATTTTGAATGTCTCAAAGTCTGGGGTTGAGGAGGCTTATCTGGGAAGGGGGGAGGACTCACCATTCCGTGGCCGAAGGACCAAGCCTTCTCGGGCATGTCGAGATAAGCCTTGTTGAGCTCATTTCCGCGAAGCCAGACATTGTGGACTGTCAGGATCTGGATCGAGAAGATGTTCCCGCATTGTGATTGAGCTTTGCGGATGAGCGAGATGGGCTTGACTGCGTAGTTGTGGGCGTCGCTGAGGAAAGAAAAAAAGCCCTCGCCTTTGTAAGCGGGGATCTTGTTAGACTTGAAATACCATCTTGCTAACAGTATCACTGCTGCAAGTAGTGCCGGAATAATCAACATGATTCCGGGAGATGATTGAAGCGGCGAAGAAATGAGCGTGACTGGTGTATAAGCCCGACAGGCTCGCGGATACACTCGAAGTGAGAAAACAACAGAATCTTTGCGGAATCATCCAAGAAACTGATCCGGAGGGCGTGAGTATTTCTTATGTCCACCAAGATATCAATCTCCACGTTGAATACTGGATGCTATCCGACGGCGGAGGTCCGTCCGAAGCCAACGAGACAACAACAAAACAACAACCACCTTGGCCCTGGATGTTGAGATCAACTCTATGGCGTAGCCGAGACCGCCAAAAGCAATGTTGACTTGTCGGTGGAGGACGGTTTTCTTGCTCCGGTGGGTAAACAAGACGTCCCTCCGAAAGGCCTCGGAATGCGGTGATGTCCAGGTGTTGGGTTCAAGGGATGATTTAGCCTCGTCGATCTGGGGTATGAGCCGTTCCATCGAAACTGTGGCTTGAGGTGGCTCATATCTTGAATGTACTAACGTTTCCAATGCATCAATGTCAAAATCCCGTGACCTCAAGATCCTGTGCATGCCTATTTCAGCTTAAGGATTCCCGGGAGCAGTCAGATGTAACTCCCATTCTTTCCTCCTCGACATGCTTCAGCCCGTCGGAGATCGCGAGCGCCTGGCTCCGCTGATCCTTGATCAGAGCATGGGCAAAGCCTTACTTAACGGAATCACTCTGAATTATGGGTTATTCGAAATTGAGCCTCTCTGCCATGGAGTTCGGACGACGGAGAGGGCTTGGATAGCCATGGCTGTGCGGCCAAGGTCCGCTTGCGCGTTGGACATCTCGATTCCAAAGTAGCCATGCTGTTAGCGTATTGTCGATCACTTGAAGCAGAGGATCTTTTGAGATTCTGTACAGATATCTACAATAGAACTCCGCCGGAAGCTCTATGAGAGCTTAGCTTCGCCGGAGGTAAACATGCTAGTGGGTTGTATCTCGTATGTCGTCTCCTTCACATCCTGACAACCGGCTCTCTCTTTGGATCCATGGAGTTTGCGGTTGAAATTTCTAACAAACACTACACTCAGACCTTCTGGAGCGTCTCCCAGAACGAGGTTTCACTTTATTTCACCGTCGCTTCCCGGTGACGTGCGTCATGCACTGCCCTCTCCGAATGTCCTGGTGGATTGCTGTGCCGTAAATAAACGCAAACTGGTTGTAGACCTAATACTCTCCTGTTCATGTCGCGTGACAGTCTTGGCGGGTGAAAGTATTTCTTTTCTTTCGAAGATGAAGACCGATCCAGAAAACGTCCTCCACCATAAACCCTCCAGTCCTGGCCCATCCCTCAGCATCACCACGTCTCGACACCCGACTCCTTGGCAACAGCTATCTTTGCCCACATCGACGATCCAACTGAGGCAAACTCCATGTTTTGACTCTCGCCGTCCATGGCTTACTTTGAAAATGACTATCATAGGCTTTCGTTTCGTGCTACGGCTGAAGGGCCACCTGAACGCACGCGCTGTTGGTAGACTCGTGTAAAAGTCCCACTGGTAGGACCAGTGCTCTGGACATAAGTTAAGGACTTTGCAAATTTCAAGGTCTATCTCATGGCAAAAATGTAAATTTTTTAATTGAAACTTGATGCTTGCCATGATTAGTTTCACGGGTCGCGGAACGCTCTATACTCAGATCAAGGAGCCTTCCCATGTGCTTGTCTGGAGTAGGAAGCCTACTTAGATACTGCCAGTCCGCTCTTCTGTCCAGTTTTTCTTTTTTCCCGTATCGTCGTCTCTAGTCTATTTCTCTGTATTATTGAAGAGCCGCCGCGAAAAGAAGGCTAATATTGATGCGATCTTGTTGTGTTGTCTAGTATCTTTCCACGCTAATACAGGGGGCAAATCACCGAAATGCTGAATTTGCGGTTGATCGCTCAAGCTAACTTCGCCTATTTCCAAGCCAATGGAAGAAAATCACGGGAATCAATAGCCAAGTCATTTCAAGAGCTTTAGCTGTTCTTTTACATACCGTACTTCCGATGTTCTCCGGAGTCTTCCGTGTTGACTCGGACGGAGGCTGTGCCTTCTCAGCCAATCACGTCTTATTGCCGGCCGTTGCTGCCGGATCCACCCCGGGGCTCTCATCCGTCCCCTAGCGGAGAGGCCCAGGTAACAGCATTCAGCATATCTCAGCCACTCTCACCCAAGCCGGACTTTGTTCTTGGGACTCCATTTCGCTAACCTGGCCCTTGGCGAGTCGTTTGACTATCGACCGATTGTGCTTCGTATCATACTTTTCCCAATCTGGGACCAAGACGGAGGAAAGAAGGCTGTACATTTTCTCGATTTGTCTTTGGCGAAGCAGGGGAAGGAGGAGGCCAAAATATCATCGCCGTAATGTATTTAACAATCACCCGCGACCTTCCGGAAGACATCCTTCCTGGCCATCTTGCAACCACAGACCATCCTCGTCGTCAACGAATCAGCCAATCCGCCATACCTCCTCGCCATGCAGCTGTCACTTCTCATCGCTGCGCTGTCTGCGCAGGCAGTCCTTGCTGCACCTCGAATCAAGAGAGACGCTCTCAAATCATGTGTGGAGGAGGTCTTTGGAGGGAATGCGGCTCTGCGTATCGTGACACCGACTGATCCCACATACCACGATGCGAGAATCGGAGAGGCAATCCAGTGAGAACGGTATTCTGCTTCCATATTCCGGACTCAACACTGACCTAAAATCAACAGGTTTACACAGATGCCTGTGTTGATTGCTTATGCAGAGAAGCCGTATGAAGTTGCCCCCTTGATACAATGCGCAAAGACAAATGGTATCAAAGCAGTCCCCAGAACCGGCGGTCACCAGTAAGCAATCATGTCCAAACCTACCTATCCTTGGAAGTTTCAACAATGACTTACTTTGCACAGCTTCCTCGGATACTCCGCCCTCCAAGATGCCCTCGTCATCGACATCACCCACATCGACTACGTCAACATCGCCGCAGACAAGAAGACCGCCACCGTCGGCGCCGGCATCCGATTTGGCGCCCTATACACGGCTCTCGGACAGCAAGGCCTCGACTGGACAGGCGGCATCTGCCCCACCGTCGGCATCTCGGGATTCCTCTCCGCAGGCGGCTTCAACATGCAGATGCGCCAAAACGGCCTCGGCGTCGACAACGTCGAGTCTGCCAAAGTAGTCACGTCAGACGGCTGCGTCGTAACGGCCTCTCGCGAAGAGAACTCGGACCTATTCTTCGCCATCCGCGGCGGCGGCGGCGGATCCTACGGCATCGTGATCGAGTGGACGCTGCGCATGTACGAGTTCCCCCGCTCCGCCATGGTGTACCTGCAATGGAACGGCTCCGACACGAGGTTCGACATTGCAAAGACGTTCCACGAGTGGGCACCTCGCGCGGACAGCGCCCTCAGCTCGCAGGTGAACTTATACAAGAACCGGACTGACGTGATTGGGTGGTGCTACGGCTGCACCCTCGACAAGCTGCAGGGCATGGTGAACGCCTCCGGGCTCCTGGACATTGGCAAGCCGGCGGCGTATATCTCGGGCGGGTGCAACACCATCAACGCCCGGCTCTTTGGCTATGGCGTTAATGAATGTGGCGCGGATGAGGCCGTCGCGCAAGTCGCGCCGTTTGTCGTCAACACGATCCAGCAGCCGTTTGTCCAGATTCCCGGGTTTGCAAACTTCACCTACAACGAGACGACCAAGGCGCCAGAACTACCTCCCGCGCAATCCTGGGCGCGCTTCATCCGCCTATCAAAATCCTTCATGGTACAGAAGGACAAGCTGCTCGCGGATGATACGATGAGGAACGCCATTGCGCGCATTGATGAGCTTGACGACGCGGCGCAGGGCTGGATTGAGTGGCATGCATGGAACATTTCGGTCGCGGGTGATGCGGCGTTTGCGTGGCGCGAGCAGGCGTATTCGCACATGGAGTTCATTGTGTCCAGTTCCGCGGACGAGAAGGTCCATGCTGGCTATGTGAAGTGGTTCAAGGATCTGGAGGATTATCTTCGTCCACTGGTTGGGTAAGTCTTCTGTTCTTGATATGTTTCGGGCTGGAAGACAATGTGACTGACCAGAGCGATAGAATGGCAAGCTACTCGGGCTACATGGACGATACGATCTCCACCCCTCCGCTCGATTCGTACTATGGCGCCAACGTCGCAAAGCTGTCCCAAATCAAGTCCAAGTACGATCCTCAGGGCTTCTTCACCAACGTGAGTATATCAACTTCCAGATAAACTGGACGCATCGACTAACGAAGGACTCAGCCTCTGAGCATCAAAGCTCTATACTCAAACCAAACAGTGACTGGCGACAGCTGTCTGTAGATAAAGGTAAAGACAGAGCACGGTGCAAGGTTGCCGAAGAACCGTATGACAGTGACGTCAGAACATAGCGTGCTTGATGAACAAGCTGTAATGCAGCTGTAGAGCGAGAAGATCCCGTCGATGGAAATGTAATTAAGCTGAAATATCCTCCCTTCACCCGCGTATGATTGAGTCAAGATAGTCCACCCGATTGGGTCCCCGAACATCAGATGAGTTGAAGAAGCTTCTTACCGAGGCCGTATCCCGCGCGGGGTCGACCGTGCAATGTCCGTCACTTTGAATTGGCTTTTTTCATCTTTCCTCCTTCCTCCCCTTTCACATTTGTATCTTGATCTCGAGTATACAGACGTACCTGTAGGAACATATGCACCATGAATACCACACTTGATCGAGGAGCGCCAAGACCCGATGAACTGAGCGATGCGGGGTGTCTCTTGAGGTACGTGACTGAGCAACAGGCCGATTTGACTTGAAATGCAATTTTGATGAGTGTGCTGTTGAGTTGTTCCGGGTGAAGCCTTAGCACCATCGCGACTTGTTCGAAATCGCCTTTGACTGAGAAGCTCAGGCACTTTTGAAATTCAGGCTGTCTTTTGTCTTTCTCATCCGACGCCTGCTCACCGAATTGATTATTTCTAGTGTCTAATTGCATTTCCGTTCAATTTCAAAGGAGTTCTTAAAGTCGAGACTCTCTGCATTTGACAAGGCCGTTTCAGTCTCAGTAGCAGAATTCACACCTCATTCTAACCATGTTTCCCGCTGACCCCAAGAACAAGGCAACCCCAGACCATAATCTGGCTCAAGACCTCGGATCAATCCTTTGCAATACACAAGTCCCTCCTAGTCGAGTCCTCAAAGTACTTTCAACGCTGCCTCGACGGGCCCTTTGCCGAGTCCCACACAAACACAATCGACCTCAACGACACCGACGCCGCAGACGACGGCGACGCCGACACCGCCAACATCAGCATCAACCCGCTGACACTCGGCACATACGTAAAGCTATGCTACTTCACCCGCCTCACCGCCCAGCGCGTCAAACGCTGCCGCCGCAACGCGGCAGACCACGCCGAGGACGCCTACTACGAAGTCTCCCCCTTCTCCCTCAAGCCCTGCGATATGCACACCCCGCACGACCTGACGGAGCTCGTCGACATGTGGTCCCTCTGCGACCGCTTCCACGACGATCTCTTGCTGGGCAAGGTCTCCACCGCCATCCGGGAGACGCTCGACGTCGGGGCCACGAAACTCGGGGACGCGCACTGCGCCGAGTGGTGGGTCTTCAACTTCGCCAACGGCTATGTTGCGCTGGAGAGCCTTCACCGACGGGACGATGACGTCGAGGCCTTGTTGGAGAGGTTGAGGGAGCTGTTTGTGCAGAATTGTTCGCCGGCTTCGTGGGAGAGGTTGGCGGGCCAGTTGCCGAGTGAGTTTGTGGTGGCGGCGTCGATTGCGTTCCAGGCCAAGATGGCGACGTTGATGCCGCATGAGGCGGCGATTGCGCGGGTGAATGGGGCGAGTTTGTGTTATGAGTGTAAGACGAGGGTTCAGACGGCTTTGAAGAGGTGAACTAGATGACTTTTTTGGATTCTTTTCGATGACGGTGCATGTTGTGCCTTCATTTCGACTTTAAACAATGAGGAAATACACCACTTCGCCGGCCACGAACAACCAACATGGCTGCTCTCAACCACGTCAGCAAATGATGCATTACTTCTAGCCTGCCATGAGTGCTGCTCATAAATTGGCGGAAACCCCTTATATACCGAAGACCAAGGTTCGTCTGTCTTTTCTGGTAAGCCAAAGTCGATGTCTGACGGTCTGTTGTTGACTTTGGCATTTCAGCCTGGATGGCGAGTGATCCTTGCTGTTCCTCTGTTCCTGTGTGTTGGGCAAAGATAACAGAAAGAATCTATGCCCGTGTGACTATCCCTGATATCTAATTGACGATGGACATGTCCGGACCATGGTTGCTCCTCAGCGAGAACTGAACCTACATGTGTGAAAGACAAATTGTGGTCACCTGCTTCCATAACCGTAGGTAGCTCTCGATCTCTCAAGGCATACTTGAATGAAGCTTTAGGTGATCATCCATCGACGAACTCCTCAATCACCATGACACCCCCCAAAGGATTATCTTTAAATTAGAAGGCAAATATGATAGTTGCACTCGGCCCCTAATCTGACCTCTTCCCACCCACTCAAGCGTTTTTGTGTGCGCCACGATGGTATACATGGAGCCGACACCTCTCGAACCCCTTCTATATGCACCCAATCCGCTTCACCAGTTTGCTCAACACCCCCCTCTTCTCCCACAAACTCTCTTACATCGAATAAAGCTCATCTGTTCCACATCATCATCTTCAAACCTTTCCCTGACTAACATCAGGATACACATCAAACCTCCTCTGCGTATTAATAGGGATATTCCGCCTCGCCTCCTCAATCTTCCCATTCTCCAACTCCCACACAACGGTCCCCTCCCCTTCCTCCGCCTCAACAAGCACGTTCGCCATCGGATCGATAATCAGCGAGTGTCCCCACGCATGGTACGTCGCGCCCATGTCCCGCGCAGGGCTACACATGGCCACGTAAATCTGGTTATCCACCGCCCTTCCCTGGCCCAGCAGGCGCCAGTGCATCGGCCCGGTCGTCAGGTTGAACGCGCCGGGGTACACGAGCGCGAAACACCCCCTGCGCGCGGCGATGGCCGCCAGCTCGGGGAACCGCACGTCGTAGCAGATGGCCACCGAAATACGTCCGTACTCTGGCAGATCCACGACCGTGACCTGATCGCCCGGGCTCAAGACCTCGCTCTCCTTGAAGGTAATCTTGCCCGGAATATCGATATCGAACAAATGCACCTTGCGATGCGTCGCCAACAGCTTTCCCTCGGGCGAAAAGATCAAACTCGTGTTGTAAAATTTCCCCGTCTCAGCATCCAGCTCCGGAACGGAGCCACCGACAAGATACGTCCCGCTCTCAGTCGCCATGGCCGCCAGCGCGTGGAAGCTGGGGCTCTGTTCCTCCGTGGGCGGCGACGGGAGCAGCGTCTCGGCGTATTTGGGGAAGTAGTCGCATCCGTAGGGCGAGTTGAAGCACTCGGGCAAAACGACGATCTTGGCGCCCGCGGCACTGGCTTCGAGGACTTTGGCGCGGGCGTTGGCGAGGTTGGCGGCCTTGTCGGTGCCCGAGGCGAGTTGGATGCAGGCGAGATTGACGGGCTTCTTGAGCAGCGGGGACGGGAGGGAGGACGACGACATGTTGCGGAAGTTGCGAAAGGGGACGAGGCGGTGCGCGGAGGGGTTGGTGATTGTTGATGTTAGGGTGCGGAAGGTGCGGAGGGCGAGGCGCATTGTATGTCTGCAAAAGGAAGGTTTTGTGAGGGCTTTCCGAAGCGGCGAGCGGGCGGAGGAGGGGGGGGGGGGGGGGGATATGCGACTTGCGAGTGACGTTGGGTGCGGCGCGGTGGTGGTGGGCTGGGAGGAACGATAACGGCGGGGTAGCTGCCGTGACGGACTTCGCGGTCGGAGCTCATCGCTGAGATTCGGCTAATGACGGCATTTCGTACTGTGCTTGTCAATGACAGTTGCGGCAGAAGTCTACAGTGCGAGATGGCCGTCTATGGTCCCGAATTGTCCGATCCATCATCGGGAAATTCAGCTGGTTCGGCCCGGCTCCGATCGGCCTTTACTCTCCCCCGCGTCGAACCGCCGCTAATCACTGTCGTTTTCTCCTTGGACATTCCTTACTCCGTGATCAAGAAGGATACTTGTTCGGCATCACGCTTTTCGGTCTATACAGTACCCCAATATTTGAAGGAGTAAATATACGGCCAAGGTCCTCCAAAATTTCAACGCCATTTTTGGTATTTGTGACAATGTTGAAGAAACAGGAGTAAGTCACCTTGAAGCACAGCAGACCTCGTCAACTACGATAGATTCATGCCACCACTCCCACCTATCCTGAAAAATACGACACCGAGATCCCATCGTCATGCCTACTGCCCCCCCCCCCCCCCCCCCCCCCTCGGTGAAGAAAGCCCTCACATCTGTGGGTTCCTGGGCCAAGTACGTTCAGGCATGTACGTGGTAGGCTAGGGAACAACAGAGATCAAACAAGTAAACCCAAATGACCCAGAGCTCAGCGCTACGGGAACCGGCTGAACCATGCCGTGGCACGTAAACTGAACAACCTCACCCAGCTATATCCAAGACTCAGTGCGATTTAGTCCACATTTGCACATTGCAGATCATCAACACACCAGCAAAAGGGCCCAGGCACTCGGTAGCTTCAATATCGCCGATCGGCCGTCCAACGCTTCCCTGCCACCGGCGACTTTTGGTGACCACTGCTGGTCGAATGCGAAAAAAACAAGAGGCAGAAACATCGGTGACTACTTGCATAGTAGACACACATTTACCCCCCCACCTCAGCTTCCCGGCAGCCTGCCTAGGTTAGTTTGGTCTCGACGTTCGTCCGGTCAATCAGCTCTTCCTTCCCCCACGTGAAACATTCCCTTTGTAAGCTTATGTTTGGGGTACTACACATTTCGAAACCATGACAGTCGAGCCCGGCCCAAGACCAGTCCTACTCCCAGCCCACCAGTACTAGCAAGGCGAGAGTCGACGTAGTACACACCGTTGGAAGCACCCAGTCAAGTCTGATCCAATCCAGCTCCTCGGGTCGGGGGGAGGGAGATGCCACTCCTACAGGAAAAAAAAAGGTTAAACTTGAGGCTGATGTTTCTTCCAATGCATTGAGTGTAAGGCATTAGGGGCTCGACCGAAAATAAACTCCATCGAACAAGATCCCCTTTGTTTAGAACACGAGCATTGGTGGTCATCAGACGGATTTTAACATGTTTTATCTGAATTCGTCTTTTCTCTTGTAAATGAGATAGATGCTTGCTCTGTCGCCCGTGGCGCTTCAGCCTCGCAGCATAAATCCACACACATGTCTTTCCCCCTAACCCCCAATGTGAGCGGCAAAGCTTTGAAACAGTTGATTAGGTATCACCCCATCGTTACGCGAATCCAATTCTGCTCGGCCTCTCACCACGCTTCCGATTCGTCTCTTAGAAACCACACCTCGCAATCTGCTCCACCTTCTTTCATTTCTTCCCATAAGCCTCAATTTTGAAGCTTCAAGTTGGGACCACTCGCAGTGGTTTGTTTGCTGTTCTTCTACTGGTCTCGAGTGCGCGGTACCAACGTCCGCTATGTGACGACAATAATGTGCAAAAAGTAGCTGAGTGATCCAGCCACAGATTTTGCCAAACTCTCTGTTCAGACCAACGCCGGCATATGAACAATAGATGACGAGAAATTAGACACAAAGGAAGTGGAGTAATTAACATCCATATCGGTGCCAGCGTCCGTAATGGGCTCGCCGGCGTTTCGCGACCGGGCTGCCCAGGCGTGTAATCGCAGATATACGACAAAAGAGGTGGTAATTCATCTTGGATGACTGGCACCGCCGGGCGGGGCCGCAATGAGTTTTGAGAAGCCGGAGGGGCCGCGGGTATCGATTAGAGTTGGCATGTTTCATGCATGCCGTGGGATGGGGGTTGAAGTTGATCTGGGGCCACCAGGTGACCCAATATCGCTAGCTCTGCCTTATAGTATCAGCTGCTTGAGGTTGCGCTGGATAATCATGTCCTGGACCGAGCCCATGGTGATCTTGAGCAAGTTCGTATCGGTGGCATTCGTGAAATGCCCGTAAATTTCCTTCTCGGTGTTTCGGTTCAGCGCGCGGAACTTGTCCAAGAAGTATTTGCTGGCAGACTTCCAGTCTTCGGCGGGGCCGTGGTAATCCGTGAAACCGTGCGATGTAATCGGGTTGTTGGGCAGTTTCTCCTTGAAAAGATCCATCTTGTTCAGGAAGAGGATCAGAGCAGACTTTGTGAACCAGTGCGAGTTGGCAATCGACTCCCAGAGCATGAGCGCTTCGTTCATTTGGTTCTGTTAAGTTGGTTAGCTTGACAGGAGACGAGAAAAACAGAGTCGGCAACACATACACCATCCTTGTCTTCAACCAAACATTGATCGTATCCGCTGATGGCGACAAGGAAGAGCAAGCAATTGACATTTTCGAAGCAGTGGATCCACTTCTTCCGTTCTGAACGTTGGCCACCGACATCGAACATGCGGTATGTCAGCTGGCCCAGGTCGAACACCGTCTCGGTGATTCCCGTAGTTCGCAATCTCGATCGCAACAAATCTTGGTCTGTGGGTTCGTAGCTCGCGTCCCAAATTCGGTCCAAATCGTCACAGAAGCTACATCAGTCAGCCATGGGCTCCGTAGAGGCAGCTGGTGCGCCAGTATGCTTACTATGCCAGGTTGTCGTGGAGGGCGAACTCGTTGCCCTTTGCTATGGCCTGCTTGACACCGCCGTCGACCCAAAGTTCTTTCACAGGTTGCAGGTAGTCGCGAGGGAGAGGGTCTTGGGCGTTGATCTCGTGTTCCACCAGGATATGCGCCATGTGCTTCTGTAAGAGACACCATGTGTTAGCCAGACCGTTCTGTTTATTACACGCATGAAGAGTGACAAAATGTCTCGAGATTGTCGCACGCAATTAGCGTCAACAGAAGGATATCGAGGGTTGCTTGCCTCATTTTCGGGGTTGCTGAACTCGATTCCCATTTCGGTCATGGCATCTTGGATCAAACGGAATGATTGGACAATGTTGTTGAATACGACCGGCTTCCATTCGAGCTTCTCGTTCTTGCTGAAACCTTGTGCGTAGATCAACTTCATCTGCTTCAGGACAGTAGATTTTCCAGATTCTCCGGCACCTGTCCAATTGAAAAACAAAAGTCAGCGCACGAACAGATGTATTGCGCTAGTTAGTGATCCGCGTCGACGTACCCAGCAATAACAGCTTGACCTCCTTCGATAGGCGCTTCTCATCTTGTCGGATCATGCGGTCGAGGTCGCGCGAACGAGCACCACCGCCGTCATCTTTTGTTCGGGCCCCGAAGCACATGTTGGCCTAAGGAGCGTTTATCGCCGAGAGAATTGAGTGCACGAGAAGCCGGCGCGATAACGCTGAACAGGTGTTTGGGGGAAAAAGAAAACAAAAGAACGCGATCAGTCGGTAAGAAAAAGTGTGGGCAGAAAGCGCGAAGCAATCGGGAGGCGGACCGGTGGAGGTGATAACGGTTTAAGGCGAAAGCGAGGTGGAAGAAGAAATGCGAGCAGCTAGTTCCGGGGAGGAGGGTTCTTGGGGGGGATTCGCGTCGAGGTCCAGGTGGGATGGGAACGGTCTCGCAATGGTCCGAGGGCGTTGAAGGTCGACAGATCAGATGAAGAGATGGAGAGGAGAGCGATGAAGGTTGGGCCAGGCCAGGGTGGAAGAAGAGGGACGATTCGGATCGTAATTTCAGCGTGACGCAAGTGAAGCGCAAGACGCAAGCAAGACGCAAGGCGGGGAGGAAGGGGAAAAGAGAGATCGAGAGTCGAGTCGAGTCGAGTCGGGTCGAGTCGAGACAATAAGGCAACGGAGCAACGGCGACGAAGGATGGCGTGGGTAGAAGAATCGAATGCAATGGCCGTAGCGTAAGGTAGGGTGTAGTGTGTACGAAGTATTCGTACGGATATGGTGCCTGTCTCTCTCTGGCTGTGCACCTTTCGAGGAACCAGGTTTGAGAAATGGGACGGGCGGGAGTGGGCGGAGGAAGCTTTTGTCGGTTTTAGAAGTCCCACTGGCAGGTAAGAGGAAAAACAAAAACCGCTAAAACTCTTGGGGGCGTTCGTAGCGGACGCCCGGTGGGCTGCGGGTTGCTAATGTTAATCCTCCTGTTCAGTGTGTTGTGCCCAGGTGGTGTTTTTGCTGCCCAGCGAGGCCAATGGCGGGTCAGGGGAGAGAACTAACGGGCTAGCGCAGGAATTGGAGAAAGGAATAGAGAGCGACGATGATGTGAGGAACAAGCTTGAAGCTGAGGCCAGACGATACGTGACACACAGAGGCTGTTATGTTGGTGATGACCAAGCGGGAATGATATGATGGGAGCAGCGAAGTGCTGGGTGGAGGATCGGGGAGGATGGCGATACAGGTACACACACACACACACACACAAGGACGATTGGAAGGAAAAGAGAAGAAGTAGAGGAGAGGAAGCAGACGGGATATTCTGCAGAAGAAGAAGAAGAAGAAGAAGTGGAAGTGGAAGAGCAAGTCAAGCAAGCTGCAGTATCCTTACCTACCTTACAGGCTACTTGGTACCAAAAAACGCACGCACAAAGAGTAAACTATGAAGCACCTCCCTCCCTCTTCATTACTGCTCCTGCCTCTCACCTCACCTCATCTGGGGCTCCGTGCTCCGTGCTCCTTGCTCCTCTCTTCAGCAACGCAGCCGCCAGCACGTACCTCAGTATTCGCAAGGTACCTCACCTTATTACCTGATTCAATTTCATTACCTGCCTGTCAACACTTCGTACCCTACCTCCCTCGTCCTTGCCTCCTTGGTCTCCGTCGATGGTCTCCGTTGACAAGGTACCATCGTGCCCCGTCGCTTGCCGGTAGCCAAGGGGTACGGATACCTATGTACGGATACAGCAGGTATGGACCGAGGACGGCTAGATACGTAAGGTAAGGTGGTAAAGGTAAGGTAAAGGTACCTCGCTTCGTACCTTACGAATACATTTGTTAGACGGGAAGGAGAGTCACGTAAGTGCTGGCCCCAGGTATGGGCAGGTATGCCTTGTCCTTGGGCTTCCACTTGACTCCTGGCAATGGCATGGGCAAGCAAACAAAACAGGGTTGATGTGACTTTGCTGTGTTTTTGGAAGCATGGATTATCGAGATAGAATGATTACTCTCTGTGTCGGTATGGAGTATGGATAGGTTCTGGACTGCGCACATCGAGGGCGAGCGACAAGTACTCCGTAGCCGCATAACAAACGCCCACCACTACAATGTCGATCACGACCCTGACTCTATGAACTGCCAGTCCAACCGCCTTGGATGCTACCTCAATGTGTATCCATATCCATTCTAACCAACAGACACTGCTGCAGCTGCAGCCGCAGTTGCACCACCAGAAACCAGGAGCATAAATAGGAGCTGTTGCCGAAGTATAGCTTATCCGTTGGAAAAGAAAAAAGAAATGCGACATGAACAGGAGAGCGGGAACAGGAACATGCGGAACTTTTGGACCGGGGTGGTAGCAGTACCTGCCTCAACTCGCATGTCCCGAGTACGTACCTGACTTACACACACACCTAAGGCAAGAGCAGGACGGGACACAGGTGGGGCCGTACCCTGACGTACCTGGCTGGTATCGTCGGTTTGATTCGTCCTGTCATCCCGGCCCGCTCTTGCCGCAGAATCGCATCTCGTGAGACTTGGCAGCTACTTGTGCCGGGGTACTCTCAAGTCTGTCCACGGCTTCCTTGCACTTGCATTAGAAAGCAAGCCACCTCCAGTTCCCCGTCGTTCTTGTGCAGCACCTTCGCCTTTTAACACGCAGGCACAGGCAAGGCAGGTACCTACGCCAATCCTCGTCTCCTCTGTGGAAAAGGTACCTCACCACCACCTTCACAACCTGTTTCTGTTGGTCAGTCTTGAGATTTTCATTCCGCCATCACCTCAGACATTTCATCCGTCGCTCAACCAATCCACTGGTTCATTGCAACCACTTCTGCTTTTCGGGGCCGGCCAATTCCTCGGGGTTCTGGGAGAGACCCAGTCGAACTACCTTACGAATGCCCTCTCGTTGACCATCATCGAGGATCGACTTCGGCGCATATCCCAGCTGTTCGCACGCGACCATCACGACCCTCACGACCCTCACGACACCCATGTCGTGCTCGCCGAGGCCCAAGGCACTACGAATGCATCTACGAATACTCCGTACATATCGAGTACCTCTCAGCGGCCACAACCCAAGCTTTCTAGCAGTGCTCCCTACACCACACACCGTAGGTGCAAGTAGCCATTTGAATAATATCCAGCTGCCGGTCTGGACGTGCTTTCGAAGAAAACCTCTGTCATGGTTCGACGCACACCCTTTCCCATGCTCAATGCTGGGCTCGAGTGTCCCAGAAATGCAGGTTGCGAGCTGCAAACTGCCACGCCTCATGACTTCATGCACAAGGAGAGAAGCCAACGGTCCAGCAAACAAGCTGAAAGCCAATGAGCTCTTGAAGATTCAAAGTACAATACCTAACACATGGCTGCGTTGATTCAAACTACTTCCAACCTCCAACCATCTGGTCCACTACCTGTCTCATCCTGCCCTCGTATACACCACCTTCAAAGACTTGTTCGATATGCTTCAAACTCAAAAGATTAACGGGCTCCGCCCTCAATCAACATAGGACTGCGACAAACCCGCGGCCATCCCGTTCGCGCCATGAACCAATCATTGGCTCGGATGCTGTTGGCTGTCTTGTCAAATAACACCTGGGCAGCGCATCAATCAAAGGCTCCAGTCGAGCCTTCAATTTGTCTGAGTCTCCATCCTCAGTATGGAGCGTCATCGTGGCATTCCACACGACAGACGGAAAGACTGAGCCACTTCGATCCTTCAGGCCCCTGCGTGACACCAGATCGCTGCCACAGAACCCCAATCGGGCCCCTACTCCGGAAACGCCTCGTACACCGAGCTTTTCTTCTGCCTCCTTCTCGTGCGCAGACCCGCCGTCGCACCCGCAGCCGTGGCCAGCTCGCGCCTCGCCCTTCAGCAGGTCATCGCTATGAAGTTCACGTTGCTTGCGGAAACGCGTCCCATCCGACGACGCCTCTTTTGTCGCTTCCAGATGTAGTGGCTCGCCACGCAGCCACCAAGCATCGGACTTTTCTGCATCTGCCAAACGACGATATTCTATCCGCGAAGAGCTTGGGCCAGTACTTCCGCTTTCGATATCAGTGTTTTTCTGTACAGTCAAGTCTTCTCACAATGCACGGCACAACCATGATGCCAGCCCTTCGTTTCGAGTAGCGGGGGTCCTGGCCGAACGCGTCCGCTCTCGAGGGAAAGCATGTCACCCCCTGATTCATGCAATTGCAACGCCGCCAGTAGAACACGACTCTGGCAGTCTGTCGTCTTCCCTCAGAGTCGCATTCTGCTAGACTTTTCCCCAAGAACAATAATTCAGATCAGCATTGCAGGCTCCAGTGGGAAAATGAGCGCTGATTTTGCGGGCCGCTAAAGGGGACCTGCAGCATCGACGGAAGAGTCCCGCAGAAACGAATCCTCCAGTGAGCTGGGATCCTTCTTCATCATCCCAGGCCTCCTGGCGTGGCGGTTGCAAGGATAAGAGCACCAGCTCGTTTCGTTCGACAGGGGGGCCGTTTGTGGATGGATTGCACAACTCGTGGCTTTTCTGGCGGGGATCCTTGAACATCGATGAGCCAGATCAACGCACGTTTCCAGGACCGCACCTGCTTTGCCAATACGCTCAAGATATGGCCGGCATGGCGCGGGCATCGACCTCACAGAGATCTTGGCCCAACTCGGTGGGACGTCTTGGATTCTGCCTGTCGGAGACTTGACAGGAACATGAACGCACTCGTAATTACTGCAGGAAGACTAGGCATTGCGCGCTCCAGAGCCGCAGTCCAACGGGAGCCGCATCACGATCGAGTACCTACTTCGCCGCCGGAAATATTGTTCCAACCTTCAAGGATTGCTTGGACCTTAAGGCTAGGCTCTCTGACTTGAGGAAGAAACGGGCAAGGACTTTCCAGAGCTAGCATAACTGTTCAAGTTTTCCAACAAAGATTTCAGCCCGTATCACTCTTGACATCGCCCGAGGTGATACGGTCTCGACGTCCCGAGCAGCCCTGTTGACTACAGAGCATTTCACCACGTGGCGACGAAGTCCCTGCCGGATGCGGGCGCCCAGAACGAATATTGTTAAACAGCTCAGTCCCCGCCAGGGGACCCCTAAGACGTCTACTACATCACGGTGTAAAGGGTAACAAAGACGATGGCGAGGCAAAGAAGTCGAGTGAGCAGATGACATGTGGGATTGTGGAACTGATTTTCAGATCCGTCTAATGGCAAGCCGCGATCCGAAGGAGTGGTATGATGGACGACAGAATACCGTCAGATGGGTTAGTCGCGCAGGACCAAGGCCCCAGATGGAAGCAACAGGTACGACAAGACTCCAAGGGAGGCAAAAGTGCCCGCAGATTGACTTCAAACACTTTGAGGTAAACTTTGGAATAGGAAGCTCCGTCACGCGATGTACCGCATGGACTAGTATCCTGCGCCAGGCGTTTTGTTTCTCCCAATTGGGCTCAAAGTTCTGCACCGACGTCTAGCATGGCATCGCATCAGCCATAATGGGACTCGATTGGATATTGCAGACACCACTCTTGGTAGAGACGTTGCATGTTATGGAAGAGTTTTCTCCCTCATATCTGGTCTTGGGGCTGGCCCTGCCAAAAGGCCATCACGGTTCATGCGGAATCAAAGCAACATCGATGAGTCCAGGACTGTCACAATCGACGATGCTTTCTGTTGCAGATGGTGATCATCCCGTCAACAGTGCCTATCGCCATCGCCCTCATTCCTGGTCGGTAGTGGGGAGCTGAGGCAGCTGAGGTGATGAAGGCTGAAAATTGTGTTGCATTTGAGATGTCAGGCCTCCAAGCTGGTTTTTATTTTCCGATACGAAAGTTCTTTGAAAATCGTCGCTGCAACAGAAGAGATGGGACGACGGTCTGGTCTGCACCACGCTGTATCACGTACAAAGTTTCCCGGGCGCTTTTTCTTCAGTATCCTTACCAAACAATGCATTCACCACCGAGACAAAAAGAGGCAGAGTCGCGATGCAGCTGGAGACGGTGGGCAGTGGGTTTGTATGTCTTGCATACCCGAAGGCCACTAATTTTCGACCTCGGCACGTAGTACGAAGCTGTCGCTCGGTCGCGGCAGCTGGTGCAAACCACGGCGGCTGGTAGCATGAAAACAACCATGGCATTGGTAGAAAATGGGGAAAGCGTAAGGACTTAGGTAAGGATGGGCCCATGTCGGGCCTCAATCTTCACATCGGCGGACGGACCGTGGCCGGGCTCGACCGGCTCTCGTCCGGCACACGCAAGTTTTGTCTCAGGCGGCTCCCAGTAGGTGCTTTGGGTTGTGTCTTGCTCCCGCTGAAGAATCGAGCCTCTTAGTGAGCGTGTTTGGGTATTAGCTTGTCAAACTGATTGTCTACCCCAGCTACCGAAGCACCTAAGGTACCTCCGTAGGTGGCGGTGGATAACGTCTGTGGGCGATTTCATGGGCCTCGACTACGAATACCAGAGTCCGAACTTCCGAGGGCTTCCAATCTGACTTGTTCTGGGTAAGGTCCATTGCGATCTATGCACGGCCCGTGGGGCAGGCTGCTATCTTCAACTCAAAAAGGTAAGTAGGGTAGGCTAGGTGGCTACGGAAAGTTTCGGACACCTAACTACGGATATCCAATTGCGAAAGGATAGTTTCGTTTCATCTCGTCTCGTCTATCCGTACGCGGGCTGTCAAAATCAAATAAGCTGTCACATCTTACGGGGTGGTGAAGAGATGATCTTTACTGTCTTGATCCGGCGACAATAGGGCGAGACATGGACGCTATTGATTGCTGGTAAGCAAGTGGAGCAGGGAGGCGAGCTCTGTGGGGGACTGTCGGGTTTGACATGCCGTTCAGTATCGAGAAAGCAGCAAGCAGCAAGCGAGAGACGCGGAGGAAGGGAGAAGAAGCCCAAAGGAAAGGAAGCCCAAACCAAAGAGGTTTGGGTTGTTGATCCCGGCTCGCCACGTTTTCTGCAAAGGTACGTCGCACGTCGCACGCTGCACATTCCTTCTCCTTACCTGCAGTACGACAGCGGATAATTCCCTCAGAGCTCGTTTGCTCTGGGCAGTGGCCCGCAAAGCCGATGACGTGAAGTTCTGAACAAGTCCCAGAGAAGTCTGATTCCCGGTTCCAAACTTCCAAGCATGAAATCCCGGTTTGGCTTCGTGTCGTTCGCAGCACCGGCCAACAGGTGCTCCCCTTCGCGATAAGCGTCGTTACTGGTGTGCAACGGACCGACTGGGCAGTCAGTATAAGTTGGGCCGGCACATGGGGGTCGACAGCTTGCGTTCGTGAGAGACAGGCAAATGAAGGATGGATTACGCCGTTTGGAGTCTCTGGATAGTGGTCAACCGTCCACGTCGGATTGCTAATACTCGTTCAACCCAGAGCCATGGCAACATGCATCTGTGTGTGTGTGTGTGTGTGTGTGTGTGTGTGTGTGTGTGTGTGCCCGGATGATGGATCGATCCATGACTCTGGTTGACATTAGCAACGTCGAATACGGACGTGCCCGGCCTGGCAGGGCAATTAAAGGCAAGGTCACGAATGTATTGCGCTGGTATTAAGACGCTGATGGGCAGAGTCAGGAACCTGACCAACGCACTGACTTGAACCGTATCGAAGTGCGTCTGGTAATGACAAGAGAGATTGAGGGGGAGTCTGAGAGAGCGTGCGGTATTGAGGAAATCTCGATGCTCCATTCAAAGTGCCATCTGGTGGGCTTGAAGCAATGAGCCAATAGGCCTCACCGTGAGTCCGTGAATGGCACATTGAAAATTGGGCCCTGAATTTTCAAAACGAGGCCACCCCCGGAGCCACAAAAATTTTCTTGCTGTTTTTTTTTTCTTTTTTTTTTTTTTTTTCGCTCGCCTTGCCCGCACCGGCGCTTGTTGACGGCGGGGGGGAAAGCGCACCGCCGCGCGCCTTAACAGAAGATTCTCTGCAAGCCCAGCACACCGCACATCGGCAGGCCAACCACACAACACCTCTCTTCCTCTCTCCCACCCACGACGTCAACGCACATTTTGATATCAGACAATCTCACTTTTCCATCCTGGCTTTCTTCCGTCATATAACACCCCTTCCTTCTCAACTACTGCGCCTGCACCAGCACCGTCTGTCTCGATTGCTTGTGCCTCTGCCGACCTGTCGATATCTACACAATCTACACAGTAGCCCTGCCCAACCCCCGTCTACCGTCAAAATGAGCGAAATTGCCCATCCTACCATCCAAGGTTCGTGCGGTCCACCCCCGTCTTTCCATCCATCCATCTCTCCCTCCTTCCCTCAAACAGATCTGTCTGTTGTTGTTTGTTTGATGGTTTGTCTGTCTACTCTCCTCTCTGCGGCTGCCCTGCCCGCAGTCCATCTGCTATTGTTGGCCTTGAACACATACTGTTCACGGTTTGCTGTTGGATGCTCGCTGCTCGCTCTCCCGGCTTCTATACGCACCCGTCTCAGAATACCCCGCCATACAAAAATGTCTTGAACACCCCGCCCATCGTCACCTTGAGGACCTTGGAACCTTGGGGAGGGTCGCTAAAGAGCCCACGCATCGGAAGACGGAGAATATCGCAACCGGGTGCGGGTCCCCCATGAGCCTTGTCTCTCGTCCGTACCGCCACTCATTGGCAGACGGACTTTGTGCCGTGCGGACTGCCTGCACCTGGTCAATTGCCAACGAAAACCTCCCGCAACTATTGACGGGTGGCTTTTCCGCCCTCTTCCGGGTCCCCTAACGACTCTTCAGCCCTGGCTTCCTCCACCGTCTGAGCGCGCATGCACTATCCTTCATGGCCACTTTCGGTTAAGCAATTCGTCAGGAGAAACCGAGAAACCTCGTCTCTTGCTTTGCAGATCGTCCGTCGAATACTTTGCTGAGGTGACATTTGGAACATTGCAAATATGCCGGCTTATGGCTGCTCCGGGCACGGCACTTTTCGGGATCGACAATGACACTCACACAGGACACACACACACACACAGACAGACTGACAGAGTGGATGCGACAAGATGCCCTTTTTGGAAACAAATTAGATCAACGAGTTGAGACCGCGCGCTAACCTGATGGAATGATGAACAGATGGCTGGTTCCGTGAGATCTCCAACATGTGGCCCGGTAAGTCACACCCCCTACTAAAGCATCGTGAAAATGAGAACACCGGCATGCTGACGACCTCCAACAGGCCAGGCCATGACCCTCAAGGTCAAGAAGGTCATTCACCACGAGAAGTCCCAGTACCAGGATGTTCTCATCTTCGAGTCCACCGACTACGGCATGGTCTTGGTCCTGGACAATGTCATCCAGGCTACCGAGCGTGATGAGTTCTCCTACCAGGAGATGATTACTCACCTGGCCATGAACTCCCACCCCAACCCCAAGAAGGTCCTCGTCATCGGCGGTGGCGACGGCGGTGTCCTCCGTGAGGTCGTCAAGCACGAGTGCGTCGAGGAGGCCATCCTCTGCGACATTGACGAGGCCGTCATCCGCCTCTCCAAGCAGTACCTCCCCAACATGGCCGTCGGCTTCGACCACCCCAAGTCCAAGACCCACGTCGGCGACGGCTTCAAGTTCCTCGAGGAGTACAAGAACACCTTTGACGTCATCATCACCGACTCCTCCGACCCCGAGGGCCCCGCCGAGTCCCTCTTCCAGAAGCCCTACTTCCAGCTCCTCCACGATGCCCTGAGGGAGGGCGGTGTCATCACTACCCAAGGTTGTACGTTCCCGTTTGTTCAGGAATATCGAGGGGAATCAAGGAAGTCTCGGGTCTCTAAAGTGAAGGAAAAGACAACGCCGCAGGCCCACCAACCCGCTCACTCGCAAAACGCGGACGCGGGGTGCCTTGCTTCTTTTTCTTTCTTTGGGCCTGTCCTCGATTCTCCCCACGAGATACCGGTGCATTAGCCTAGTGGCTTGCCGGTGAGACTGGGTTGTGTGAACCTGGATACGCTTTGAACTCTCCTTTGTCTACTATTCTAAAGCGTTGCGCGTACTCGAGACTGTTACTCTTCGTCTTCTTCGTCTTCATCTTCTTCTTCTTCTTCTCTCCTCCCCCTATGCCGTCTCCCGGCGCTGATTCAGCCTGACTCTCCGTCAGAAGGCTTCGCTCTTGTTTTGAGATATGAAAACTGTCTAGAGACCAGGACTAGCTAACAGTATACACCTACAGCCGAGAACCAGTGGCTCCACATGCCCCTCATCTCCAAGCTTAAGAAGGACTGCAAGGAGATCTTCCCCGTCGCCGAGTACGCCTACACCACCATCCCCACCTACCCCAGCGGCCAGATCGGCTTCATGGTCTGCACCAAGGACGCCGGCCGCAACGTCAAGGAGCCCCTTCGCAAGTGGTCCGCCGAGGAGGAGGACAAGCTGTGCAAGTACTACAACGCCGACATCCACAAGGCTTCCTTTGTCCTGCCCAACTTTGCCAAGAAGGCTCTCGAGTAAATTTGTGTCTATGTGTGCGCCGTTGTAGCTACGATGCAAGTAGACGACATTTTCTTCTTTCAAGAATGACATGGGATTCATGAACTCATTTTGGGGAGGATGGGAAGGATGGGGGGGTTTGGACTTTGGCAGGATTGTCAATAGATGGAACCCAAAAAGAAGGGGGGAACCGAAAAAAAGTTTTAGTCGTAACACGCAGAGGTTGACTCTAGCGTTGCTCAATATATTTTGTTTTGAGTCAAAGTATGTTGTTTCCCTGTGATTTGCATCACAAGGTTGATTCTATGTTGAGATTTACTCCGTGTCCCTCCGTCGGGTTATCCCCCGTTGTCGCCAACTCCGTGTACATCTTTTACTTGTCTTCCCACCCAATGCCTCCATTGAGTCCCATAGCGTCTACTCCGTATTATGGCGTGAATTCCTCCGTAGCTTCCCTTCCTCTATCGTCCTCAAAACGTGTCCACCACTCTCATTTGATACCACTCATCCTCTCTTCGCCCCTTCTGTCCCCAAGTTTCTCCTCCCCATCCCTCCCTCCCTCCAACACCATCCCTTCATCAAAACCCGCCCCCATCACATCCCTCTCCCAAACCCTCATCATCTCTCACCAATCGCATCCCTTAGCAAGCAACAGCGCAAGCCTCTCCAACCAAACCCGATCAACCTCATCAAACCCATCCCTCTCCGCACAATCCACATCAATAATCGCCACCAACTTCCCCTCGACGACAACCGGCACCACAACCTCGCTCTTACTGTCGCCGTCGCAGGCAATGTGACCGGGGAAGGCGTCGACGTCGGCCACGAGCTGCGTCTGCTGCGTGGCGGCGGCGGCGCCGCAGACGCCGCGGCCAAAGGGGATTTGTTGGCAGGCGACTTTGCCCATGAAGGGGCCTAGGATGAGGGATTGTTTGGTGGAGGAGGGATCGAGGACGTAGAAACCTGCCCAGTTGACTGCGTTTGAGGGAGCTGGGAGGGAGTGGTAGGCGTGCCAGAGGAGGGAGGCTGTGTTTGCGAGGTTGCTGTGTTTGATGAGGGGGTTAGTTAGTCTTTTCCTGGCTCTCATTTCTTGTTTCTTCATATGCTTCAAATTGGAGAGCAAACTATGTGAGGTGGCTCTCTTAAACTTGGAGCTTTTTTTTTTTGGTTTTTTCTTTTTTGGACTTACGCGACCTACGGAGAGTGTTAGTCTTTGTGATATTAGAGTAAGATATGGTATTTAAAAATATCATGAGTCAGAGTATCGACATCATGTGAGAGGTAGAGGATAGCGATTCCTTGCAAAAAGCAGGCGGAAAATACAATGGAAAGGGGGGCATATATACCCAGTTTCTTTGACCGTCGAGGAGACCTTCGGCTTGCATGAGGACCTGCTCATAGGCCTCCTCTTTGGTCACGCCATTGGCGAAGTTTGAGGCGTCGGCGTGGACCTGAGATTTGCGATATTCGTTAGTACACTACATCGACAAGATTGGGCGATCCGAAGTTTTTTGACTCACCATTATGTTATGGGGGATATATAACCTGAGAGCTTTGACAAAAGATGAGAGAAAAAGAGAAGAAAGCAAGCGGTTATCGAAAGTTGTGTTGGTCAATTCGATACAATCTCTTGAGGAAGCTATGGAAGATCCAGGTACAATGAGTTAAAGATGACCAAGCATGCTTACTTATGTGGTTGTTGAGATGAAGCAGGGTGTTTAAAATTATGCGTTGAAATCCTCTGGTCCAATCACGTCATTTCTTTCTCGGTGAGATACACCTCCACACCTCGGTGAGTCCAGCTCTTCTCCCTTCGGACCCGAGTTTTTTTTGTCAGCTACCCAAGACAAAAAAAAAAGTGTTGCATTCCACCCCGGCCCTAAATTCTGGGACGGGAGAATCGGGGGGGAGGGATCGGCCGGCTCCGAGTGGAGAAAGTCTGCCTCTTTCGCACTTGGCGGGTTCCGAGATGTATTTTCAGCTCCGATCCCGTCTGTTGTTCTCTCTGCTCCTCTGATCGCGAACAGGATGAGAGGTAGCACAGCACCACGCTACGATACCATGGTAGGGCGTGGAAGCTACCTGGTTGGCGCAGGTCGCATCGCGTGGCGTGGCGGGATATCTAAGGTACAGATCGATCAACGTTGCATGCGAGTGAGAAAAAAACGTGACCGCTGCCTGAAGCGAGCCGAGGAACACTACCTCATCCAATTGACCATTGTGATTTGTTCTCAGAGTACACACGTTCCTCTACCTAAGCACCCAAGGTATGGTAAGCTTGTTGAGGTAGGAATCTAGGTCGGAGGTCGGATTCGGATGAAACTCCGTCCATGACTTCATTCTCCGCTAACCCCGCGTGTGCCCCCCGTTGGTGTGACGGCTCCTTCACCTTGTCTTAGCTGAGGCTAGCTCTGCATGAGCTTGAGGTGGTTTAGTACCTGAGGTAGCTTAAGAGTGTTCTGTATAGAGGTAAAGTCTTTCCCGCCTCAGTCTCGTCTTTTCCTTCTGTGTCAACCATTGTAGTGTCTTCTTTCCTGTTTGGCTGCAATTGGAATCGCCATTCGGTCTCTCTGCAACGTCAAAGAGTCGTTGCATTCACAGCTTCACTGCGCCTTACATCCACATAGGTGACATAGTCAAACAACTCACCTGACTCGCCATCTCATCCTCAACTAATTGAGCACACATCCTACCAGACACAACAATGTCGGAACAACAGCAACAACAACACCAGGCACCCCGCTTCTGCGCCGACTGCTTCAAGGGCACGCTCCGCGGCGACGTTGAGCCAAAGGGCACCGTCGAGACCGTCTACGGCCTGCCGACGTACGTCGCGCGCCCGGAGCCCGGCCGCGGCGAGCCCGCGGGTGTCGTCGTAATCCTCCCGGACGCGATGGGTTGGGAGTTGCGTAATACGCGCGCGCTGGCGGATGCGTATGCGAATAGGATTCCGGCTGTTGTGTTGCTTCCTGAGTTGATGAATGGTATGTTTTTTTGAAAACCAGCATTTCTTTTGATTTTCACGAGTATTGTTTTGCGGGGTTGCCTTTCGAATCTACGTTTTTGATGTAAGAGCGTTTATACATCCCTCGCTTGAGTGTTTTTCTGAGATCATGTGATGTCCAGAAGGTGGAATGAGGGGAGGTGGTGGATATCAGGAATGGCTGTAGACCGCGCGACGTCGAGAACTCTCGTGAGACGCCTCAACGTTACGAACGTACTAACGCCGTGTGTGACCCAAAGGCTACGCCATCCCAGCGACCGCACTCGCCATGGGCGATAAAATGCAAGCCGAAAAGTCGTGGTGGAGAAAATACCTCGTCATCGCGCCCGTCATGTTCGCGACGATGCTGCGGTACTTTATCCCCCTCGTCATCGCCACCCGCGCCGGCGTCGTCGTCCCGCGGATAAAGAACTATCTCAGCGCCCTCCGTCTCTCGCCGCCGTCTCCGCTGCCCCGTCCATCGACGTCAACGTCCTCCTCCTCCGCCGTTGAGGCAACCTCTCAGAAAGAAACCAAGATTGGCGTCGCAGGCTTCTGCTGGGGCGGGAAATTCACCGTTCAACTCACCCAGCTCGCCGCGGGACCGTTTGGCAGCGAGAGGCTGATCGACTGCGGCTTCACGGCGCATCCGAGTTTCCTTACGTTGCCGGGGGACTTGGAGAAGGCGGTGCTGCCGCTGAGCGTGGCGAACGGGGACGATGATATGATGATGCCACGGGCGCGGATGGTGGAGGCTAAGAGCGTGCTGGGGGAAAAGGGAGAGGAGTTTGAGATTGTGGAGTATCCTGGTGCCAAGCACGGATTTGCTGTGAGAGGGGACCCGAATGATCAGCGGCAGGCGGATTTCGGGATGAGGGCGGAGGATCAGGCTGTTGGGTGGTTTCGGCGGTGGTTTGGGCTTGGTGCTTGAGGGAGATTGTGAAGGATGGGGTGGGATGGTATGGTATGGTTGATGGAGGTTAGTTTTGGCGTGAGTTACTTTGCCATCACGACACGAATTGTGAGGGTTGTGAGAGAAAAAGAAAAGTCTTTAGTCTTGGTCTTTAAGGTATGTGTGGCTTCGAGTAAGTAGGCTCTTGTAAACACAGGACTGGAACTGAAATAGGGCTTGCTACTGTTGCGAGGTTACAATCTCCCCTTGACACGAGTTTCATGCACATTGGCAGGCACGAGAAACCCGCGTGACTTCCAGCTAGTTAAGAAGCCAACAAGACACGAGTGACCAAAACCAACCCGAACGGCCACCAATTCCACAGCATTCAAAAATCTCAAAATACAACTGAGAAACATGCCAACACAGCTCACCATCACCTGGAGCACAACTATGATTCGGTCAACAATCAAAAAAGATAAAAGATGAATGTTCTTCTCCCCTTCCAGAATCGAACTAGAGACCTTTCGATGACAAGAGATGAACAATTACAGTCGAACGTGATGAACCAACTACACCAAGGGGAGGATCGGAGCTATTGCTCCGCTCGATGTGTCAGTCTGGCGCGAAGAAATGCCTGAAGAAGTGTTGTTCCGACCCACAGATGGATCCGCAATTCTGTGGTTGTGATTTCGGCTCTCTGCAGGACACATCAGGTCAGCGACCTAACTGGGCGCGTGCGGGCTTTCCTACCCCGAAGCAGTATGATCACTTTGAAAGAGACTTGTGCATCTTTCCTGTGAGTCAATGCAGAGTTGCCGTTGTGGTAGGGCCCTGTCAATGTCTGTTTTGAAGTTTGATACCTCGCTGATATGGCAGACTCTCAGAACAGAGTCTTCAACTGGTCTGGTTTTGAGACCAAAACTCTAGGTTCACCGGAATTTTAGTGTAAGGTGTCTTGAATTGGAATACATCTGTCTCACCTTGTAAAAAGGTATGCCCTTGGACTTAGGTGACGCTACGAGCAGGTTTGTTTGAGATGCGTGCTAAGGTACCTCATCTTGATGTGAGGCTTCCATGCAGCACGTGGAAACAAGGAGAAAGGAAGATCGCCCCAATCGTCCAGCTCAATTGTCCAATAGCCAGAACTGAATAGTCACGCCAAGGGCAGACGGCAAAGCTTGATTCGGCGAGAGCGGCCGATCCCCGGACCCGACGCGGTGGGTGGGGTTGCGGGTGGGGCCGAGGCAAGGGGGCGAGCACCGATAAGCGATAAGCTTGTAGGTGTAATGAGTGACGAAACCAATTGCCCATTTTTCTTTAATTAAAATCGATATTTTGGCCTATGCCTTTTGGCATCCCGCGCGACCCGGTCCGAACCCCCCTCACTCACGAACCTCAAATCCGCAACCTTTAACCCTGAAGTGTCCTCGTAACTACAACTCTTTTTTCACACGTCTCATGCAATGAACCACGGCACGACGCTGCGCGCAATGCGCGCTCCGTCCTCTCTCCTCTGCGGCGGCAACAGCAGCAGCAGCATCGGCTCCTCCCTTCACACGTCCTTCCTCTTCACACCGATCGCGCGACAAGCAACCCCCTACCGCCGGCTAGCGAGCTCCCTCACGCCCGAAGAACCCTCCTACTCCTCCACCGCGAGCAGAGACAAGGTCAACGCCATCGCCTCCTCCCGCCCAGCGGCCCTCGATCTCCCCGAGAAGAAACCCGACGCCTCAAAGATTAGCCACCTCTACGAGACGGGCAAAGCCTACATCAAGTTCTACAAGACGGGCCTCAAGGCCGTCTTCTCCAACCGACGCCACATCCAAGACGTTATCCGCGCAAAGAGCACCACCGTCGAGGGCTTCCGCGCCCCCTCCGTCTTCACGCCGGGCGTCATCCCTCAGGGCTTTTCGCGCGCCGACTGGATGCTGCTCTGGCGCGTGCGCCACGACGTCCTCCGCGTGCCCTTGTTCGGTCTCGTCCTCTTGGTCTGCGGGGAATTCACCCCGCTCATCGTCATCTTTGTTGACGGCGTCGTGCCGTACACGTGCCGTCTGCCGCGGCAGATCGACGCCAGCTTCTCGCAGGCGGAGGAGCGCCGGCACAAGTCGTTTGCCGACTTTGAGCGGGCTGCGCCACTGGGCGTCGCGGGGACGCAGGGTACGGCGGCAAGGGCGCCGGCGAGGAAACATGTGCTGCGCAGTCTGCATATGCCGGGCATGATGTGGGATAAGATTGGGTTCATCCCGCCGGGTATGTGGGCGACGAAGGGCAAGCTGCGGATGGCTTTCCTGGAAGGAGACGATAGGTTGCTGGCTCGCGATGGGGGCGCGGCCGCGTTGGATGAGGCGGAGGTTAAGATTGCGGCTACGGAGCGTGGTATCGACTGCGCTGGTCGCGGGGATAAGGAGTTGAGGGAGCTGCTCGATGAGTGGTTGCGCTTGACGGAGGCTGAGGAGAGCGCGGAGAGGAGGAAGCGCATGACGGTTCTCTTGACGACGAGGTATGAAGTTTACTCCCAGACATGCCCATTCGTGCAATTGCTAACTTTTGACACCTGCAGGACGGAGAACTGGCCAAAGGACCGAGACTTTGCCCTCCCTGAGTGGCATCTTTGAGTCGACACACACAAAGCAGACTTGTAC